CAAGCGGCGTCTGTCCCTCAGGCTGAGCCGGGCACGCAGCCTCGACCTCCTCCCTCTCCCTCGTGCTGTACGCGAGCGACGTCCGAGTGCGCGGCAACATTCGATGTAAGATTCGAAATCTGTTTTCTTCAGCAAGTCAAATTCTGCGCAACTTCACGGCCTTCCCTTCTCAAGGAAGACACCGAGGAATCACAAAAACCGCATGGCGATCAGCACCGAGAGAAATCGTCGTCCCGTTCTTTCAATTCCAATCCGTTGTCCGGCTCTTAATGCTCACTCAAACTGTAGTTCGATAATCTTCAACTGTCCTTCGACGCCACACGAACGAAAACTGAATGCTATCCCGAAACTTCAGTTTTCAAACTCCGACGCAATCTTCAAAATCCCTACTTCCGAACATCAAATCTGAGAATCTTTCTGCACAGATTTCTCGATTTAAAACCCTGATTTCCTCAGACTCTCAAATACAGAAATTGCCCAAAGGTATAAACAAACCACAAAAGAGAGAAACACCCGACGAAAACACAAAGAGGCAGAACAGAACGTAAAACGGTTACACACAAAAACGTCGAGAGTTCTTCGAGTGAAATAAACGGGAGATTCCCCACTGGAATTCCCGTCGGTCAATTATCCTACTGGCAACAAACCGTCACCGTCACAAACATGAGTCAAGCCCAACCCACTCCACACTCGGAGAATCCAGGTCGACGCAAAAGGGGAAGTCGCTCTAGGCTCCCTGACGCTTCCAGGCTCGACTCGAAGAACTGACGTTCTTCGAGCCGTCCCCGACTCTATACCCCTCGTGACCGGAACCCTAACTTTACGGCTAAATATAGTAAGTGTCTGAACTTCGTGAGCCGACTCGTAACTACATGACAACATATATACATAAAAATAACAAATAAAATTTAAATTTTATTTTAAAAAAACATTTTACCCTAACTTGACATGATAGGTAACACAAATATATTATTTCACTCAATTTTGTCTATGCAAATAAATTTTATATTCACGATTTACATTGAATACATTGAATCCAATATTGTATGTTGTATGCAATTTATCTTTGATGTTGCAAAAATTTATCGGTCAAAAGGCTTAGAAGTACAATACATTCATATTCATATGAAAGTTGTGAAGTTATAATTTTTTTTTGAAAATTACATAAGTATAGTGAAATCTCGGTAAAAAGTACATACTATTTGCTTCAAGTTTTTACCATTTTGTACCTTATGAAGTTGTTGTACATAGTATGGAATATGTAATTTACATATACTTTATCAAAGCCCTGATACCTGAAAAAACCAGCTGCGAGTCAAAACGTGTCTTTATTGTAGGATTCATTCGAAATTACATTTGATAGATGTTTGCATCAAAGATGAATTGTAAAGAGTTCGAGCTGAAGACTTAAATTTCAATAGATGAAGTTCTTTGCTAAATAAAGTTTTGGCTTTTGCAAAGGCAATGAGATGCATAATCATATTGTTGTGACATATAATATCGTAACGGAATACTGTCACAACGTTTGAAGATCATAACTCTGGCAAAGAAACTCTTGGGCAACCTTGTTAACGGTAGATCATCCCAAGCTAAATACTAACACCAACAATGAGATTGGTGTACAAATCTGAACCTACATCCAATGTTGTGTTTGATGTCTATACGAAAGAAGTACAAGCTAGAAACAAATTGAAGTGAATAAATACGTATAGGAAAAGAAAAGAAAATCATTATCTATAATGAATAGTATTAAATTTATATGCACAAAGACTGCTGGATTGCACTTCCAAACGGGAGCTTCTATGAATCACGTTCAAGAACCTAGCAGCTTAGTGGCTATGGCGTCTGCCCTTGCACCTCACACATGATTCTAGAAAAACTAAACTACTACGAGGCCAAGAAGCTAACCTAAATATCTCAATATTGTTCCTATATCACATGCATCTGATACAAGATTCAAAACTAGGCTACAAGAACGGTAGATTATGGTCACACTACTTGCTCTCAAACTAGTGTCATTCGTATCGGTTGGACGACTTGAAAACACTCCTTTGAAATAGTAAAACGTGGCGAACATCACTATGACATGACGACATGCGTTAAAGTCAATGCACACCGCATAGAAATATATTTTATTTGCTCGATTGAGATAATAATTTGTTGATTAATAATTAATAATTAAATTTCATTGTTAATTGTAAATTCTTCCACATATTTTTCACTATTAGCATATCTAAATATTTTAACAATTTGTGTAACAAAGTATGTCTCTAGAATGATATAGATTTTATGGATTTGTTTTTCAATGACATGAATGGAACCTCGAATATCCGATTCTCTTTACAACAGATTCATGATATCTTTATTGCATAGTTTTTTTTTTATCATTACGTGATCTTGAGCAATTGAAATGTTGAAATCGCATTTTTTGAAACATTTTTGAATTGTATACAACTTCATCATTTTCCAAGATTTGTTCAAAAATTCAATTGCGTCTAAAATTGTCAATCTTTTGACTATATCTAATGCATGAAACTTTTCATACATTAAATCTAAAAACAAAAAAACTTTCAATTTCTGCGACAATGCTTTCAAGCTTTGAATTGTAGCATCTAGCAAAACATACATTACGTTAAGAGAAAAGTATCAAAGTTTGACTTTTGACTACTTGATTTTTTCAAGCTGAATGTGGACTTGCACATTATAAAGAAAAATAAAATCTTGCAACTTTTTTAAGTACTAATCCACCTTTTCAAATAAGCATTAAAGATTAGATTTGTCATTTAGACTTTTGCAGTTTTTGATAATTCATCTTCAACTTTTTTTTATTCACACCACAAAAGCAACGAGTACTTTTTGACTTTCCAATAATTGAAGAAATAACAAGTCAAAGTCATTCTTACTCTATCATTCACTTGTTTTTACTCCCTTATACCATTGAACAATATGGTTTAATGTTGAATCTGGCAAAACACAAAAAAAATTCCATATTTTTTAATAATAAACGTAGTTTTTAAATCATATGTTGCCAAAAGTATTGCTAAAGTTGATTGTTAAATTTGTTCAACGCTGTCAAAATCCACGTTTTTTGACTCTTCACAGATCTTGTACGACTGCAACGACAAGATGCGTATTTTGATGCTTTCATTTTTGTAGCCAACTTTCTATTGTAGAAAAATTGCCGATCCAAGTTGATTGGAAATCTGCTTGGCTTTCACTTGAAGTATAGAAACATTAATTGAATAGCATTGTGAGCGTGTTGTTGCAAACCATATCCACACAAAATAATATTTATGTCATTCTACTTCATAATTCTTACTCTAATAGGGATTGTTGATTTTGCACTCTTTCAACAACAACTCTCTCTTTTGCTTAGTGGCTTGAACTATTACTTTTGACAAATTTTGTTGCAGTTGTAACCTTCATCAAGATGCTTGATGATGGATAATTTGCTCTTTAAATCGACAAACTTCAATTTTTTTTTCCTCAGGTTTTCCAAATATCATGATTCAAAATCTGAAAACGAGAGATTATATGATAGAGATGTAACTAATGTAGATTTGCGTGGATCTTCAATGGCCTTCTAATGTTGTACATACAACACTCAACCAAGATTTAATTCTTATTGAGAGATTCTGATTACAAATATAATTTTGCTTTTTAAACTCAGTATTTTTAAACAAAAGTGTAACTTTATATGGAGGTTCCATTGTACTTACGAATACATGCTTCAAAGTATGATTGTCATGATATTGTCTTCTTACCTCACGCAACTTACTTGCATATTTTATTTTTTAATGTTAACACACACCATTTAGTAACGTGATTATAATATTTGATAGTTGAAAATTCATAGAGGCACGAAAAAATTATTTGAGTATAAAACTTATCTTCAAGCTTTAACTTATTTTTATTGTTTTGATTATGTTAACTCTACGAGCATATACAAATTTAAACATGTGTTGTTAAAAACGTAAGAAAAATGGTAAATGATAAATAGATCAAGCCTGAGTATCCAAAGGATCAAAAGGCTATTCAAGGCTAAGATAAAATTAAAAAGTATGATTTTATAAAATATTAGCAGATAAAATCTAAAATCTGAATTATGATCAAATTCATTGTTGAAAAAATAATATTTGTAAAATGAACTCAATTTGTGATATTAAAATAAAATATAATGATAAAAGAAGTTTCTAGTTACATTTCACATGCATATTTATAAATATATTATATTAGAATCTTGATTTTTTATATAATATATAATTTAGAGTTGCAAATTGTTTTTAATACATGGCTTTACTTGAAAGTTCAATTACGTTGGATATTTAATTAAAATTTAATTTATATTGATTCATTTCAATTGAAATTATTCAAAATAATTAGAAATCATATGAAATTTAGGTTATAGATTTATTATATTATATCAAAAGGAGTTTATTTTTTATTATTTCTAAATACTGGTAGGAAATTAGTTGGAGAGATTTGCACAAATATTTTCATATCTCACTCGTTATTCATCAAAAAACTAAAGATACAAAATCTACTTCATCAGGTTACATTTCTGAAATCAAACGTTGCTACACATGGCCGGAAAGTTATTATTATTTCTCTACAGAAATAGATACGCATGGTGTGCATATGAAAAAATACTTACAAGAAATATATTGGTGTCCGAAGGCATGTTTTATTAGTTAATTGAAGTTATTCAAATTTCTGTATAGATATATTTATTTCATATATCCTAGAATAGGTTGACCATTATGATACTATTGAAATGAAAAAAATGGTTTTGATTTGGATACTTAGTAAGTGATGAACATATACATAATCTAAACAATAAAATAGCATATGAATGATACACATTTTGTTAGAAATGCGAAACGAAAATATTTACTTCGTGAGAGAACCTTGTTTTTAGAGAATGTACACAATCCTTTCAATGAGCCGGGTAGAGTGTCGATGCGGTATTTGTGAAGGAACTAAATCCTTTGTAACTGAACTAGCGTTCAAAAGCGAGACCTTTAAGACCTTTAAGACCTTTAGAGTGCATGACAACGAGTAGTCCCTTAAACTCGACGCTTGGTGCATCTGCTGCGGCAACTCTCTCAGACTCCTCCGCGTCAATTCCAGAGTTTTGATCGATCACTAAATCAGCCGTACCAAACAATTCGTCATGGCGGAGTTCGGCTGCGAATGGAACGATGCTCCCCACAGCATGGGGGTGAGATTGTGGATACTAATTTTATTTCAGTTGCTGAAGAGAGAATATGAAACGGAGAAAAATTTGATGGTTTTGCTTAGGTTTGAGGTATGAACTCCATTTTGTCGGTCATTTTTTTTAACAACGGTGTATGACATTTTTGGTTTTTTTCCAGACGACAATCATGGCAGTGCAGTATGACGGTGGAGTTATTCTTGGTGCAGACTCCAGGACAACGACGGGTGGGTTTAAAACTTTATTGTAATTGTGGTGTGAAATTTATACTACAACCCATTCGATGATCGATTTCAGCTACCTTCATATCCATCAAAGCGATTCAAGAAACCCTACACGTGTGTCCGAAACGCTTTGTTCTCAATTTTTTCTCTCTGTAGTAGCGAAAGAGGTATTTTGTCAAGTATCCATCGCTTTTCTTCTGTTCTGAGGTTGCAGGAAACGAAATTTCCAGCTTCTTGAGCTGGGATGTTTTTGATTTCATTATTGTCCACTAAATTGAATTGTTGGCTTTCGGCTGATCTCAGGTGTGTATGTGGCTAATCGAGCCTCTGATAAGATCACCGAATTAACCGAAAACGTCTACATCTGCCGATCGGGATCGGTACGTTTGCTCAACTGTAACGTATGAGGTCAAGGGCGCCAGTTAAGCAATTGTATAATGTTTTAATATGATCAAGAGGACGAGGTAGCCGCACCGAGATACTCCTAACCTCTCTGTTACTCGTGATTGTACATGTCTGCTGCAAACCCTTGTAATATAGTCCTAAAACGGACATATTACAGTTGGAGTGTAAGCTTGAATGCAGTAATGTTGGTCACATAGTTTCGCATCCGAAGCTCAAGCTCATTTGAAAGTTTTTGGAAAAACTTTTCATTGTCACCTTCATTTTAAGTACAAATCAATCTTGCTCCAGCAGAAAACTGATCATATCGACAAGGATGAAGTACTTTACGCTTCTTTCCAGAATGTCGAACAACGCTTGATAATATTAGTGCCATCATCACACTGCTTCAGGTCTATCGACCTACTGTCCTATTTGCCCCAAATTTGGGTCGTCGCACGTATCTTTTCAGCCCAGTACTGCCGAGCCATGTCTAAGAAGAGATCTTTGGCTCACTCAAGTTTATGCTTACAGTACTTCAGCTCATGTGCTAGCTTTTACTTACCCGGATACTCTTTTGGCAGATTGTGGACACTACTTGTTACCCGAGGATTAATATTATCTGCTTGTAAACTGCTTCACAGTTTTGAGGATTCGCGAGTCACTAGTTTACCTGGTCATTGGGTTGGTGAAATGTCATTGAACAGGCCAATCCATTTTGGCCAGGAATCGTCATCTCCCGTATATATTTGCATAATGAGTCTGCCGAGATCTGTTGCAAGTTTGAGAGTGCGTGAAGATATTGTGAATTGAGCTGCATCTTAAACCTATCTATTGTTGCAGGCTGCAGATTCTCAATTAGTGTCGGATTATGCTCGCTACTTTCTGAATCAGCACACGTAAAGCCTTCTCAAACTTCTACCTCCTACTGTTGTTGTCAATCGCCTGTAACGTGCTTTTTTCGCTGTTGTCATTTCTTAATTGGAACTGGCTTTCACTCAAGGACTACATAATAGTTCTGAGCTCGTTCCTTCTGATATGCAGAATTCAGCTAGGTCAAAACGCCACAGTAAAGACTGCTGCCAATATTGTGCGGCAATTGTCCTACGGAAATAAGGTGGGTAATACGTCCTGACCATAGGGGGACTCAAGACCTCCGTAGAGATGGGAGGATGCACTTCTCGTCCGCGTCCTACTATTTCATCATAGCTTACTCTTAATGCTCATTTTTCAAGAAGGAAGAAGAACAAGTGTTGTTGTGATGGAAATGACAACATTTACCAAGGATTTATACATTGTGGTACCTTTGATCGCAGTCGTTTTTGGAGTGTGGGTTGATTGTTGCTGGTTGGGACAAGTATGAAAAGGGAAGCGTTTATGGTATTCCTCTTGGTGGTACAATTTTGCGCCTCCCTTTTGCGACTGGAGGTAATTTTTGAAGTCTCGCATGTTTAGGAGTTGTTAAGTTGTTTACGTTCTTGAAACGTTGTTGCTTCAACTTTTTTAAATATTTTCTACCATTTCTGTATTAAAAATCTATCCAGGGTCCAAATTGCTCAACTTGAGATCTACTTTATTGTGTTTTCGGCATGTTGTAGTCCATTGCGTACTCTGAGTCTTGGTTTGAACAGGTTCTGGGTCTAGCTACTTGTATGGTTTCCTGGACCAGGCATGGAAAGAGGGTATGAGCAAGCAGGAAGCAGAGGTATGTGATCACCACAGAGGCACAATGCTGAAAGAAATGTCTTCTGGTTTTGGTCATGCACTTTCACTCTCTGTGGAACGTTAAGTTTTTATTTCTTGTCTTCTGTAGCTGATTCGTGTTGTTTCTGAATTCTCTCTTCCGACTGTGATTTCTGCAATTCGCCAAAGGTCTTTTCCTTTACTGAATGCATGGATGTCAATTTTGTTGTTTGTGGTCTTGCAGGAGCTGGTTGTTAAGGCTGTTTCACTGGCAATGGCTCGAGATGGAAGCAGTGGTGGTGTAGTGAGAACTGTGATTGTAAGATATTCCCTCATCATATTCATCACTCATTACTTTAGAAATATGAAATATGGAGTCCATCACAGTACAGTGGGTCTTTCAGAAAATATGTTGTGCAACTTATCGAGCCTTAAGGTATTGTTTTTGTCCCTAATAGTCTATGTGGTAACCAGGGTTCATAGCAACGATTTACTTGAGCAATAATTGTTCAAGTAAATAGTGTCTTGCTGTTGGCTGAGCTTTTGAAACTCAATGAATCTGTCCGCAGTCTGATCAAAGTTCTGCATCTCTTGACTTCCAGTGCATACCTCGTCTGCTGATAACTCACATGTGGGGGAGACCTAGTGTGCTCATATATTCCCGTTCCTGAGAATCGACTCACTTGTTGAATATGAACTGCTGTATCATTGCCTTTGCCTCTTTTCGTGGAGATTTTACAGGAACAGTACACAACCTTGAGGGGCTTATTCGTTCGTTAAAAAGATAGAACCATTTGTAAGGGCGTCCGCGATGATGAGTCTAACTGCTCTGCCCTGTTCTGCCCTGTTCTTTTTCAGATTGACTCAGAAGGAGTAACCAGACATTTCTATCCTGGAGACAAACTTCCTCTGTACTATGAAGAGATAGCCTACCGACCTGGGCTAGAACCAATGACTGCTTGAAGAGACGCATACATGAGCAAATTCTCAATTCTAGAGAAATCTTTCCGGGTATTGGAATAATGATTACTGCCTGGATGCGGACCTCGAACGTAGAGCTGGTTTGAAACTAAATCATGTCACGATTTAGTCTCTTTTGTCCATTTTTAACTATAGGCCCAAATCCTGCCTTTTGGTTCATGTCTATACATATGATCATTCCATCGATTTTGAGATGAAAATATTCTCGACTCCTGGGGACTGGACTCAATACTTCAGAACTGGCTGTTTACTACATTTCCTTGTCCATTTTGACACGGACATACTTCAGGGATCGGAATTAAGCTCCAGCGTTGGCCTGGTATAATATACTGGATGTGGGTTTTAGTGTTCTGACTCACTAATAGGCAGTTTACGGGACCAGACGGGTCCATAGATCAGTGGGCTATACATTCGCCTCGCTGTCGACTCGATCGTCGATATATTTTGTCCAGGAGTTTAACTTTGGGCTTGCTCTATTCTCAACTTTATACCAGGCCACATCACTGGTACGAGATAACCCGAATCACTGTTTACTGTTCATCAGTTTGCTGTTCCTCTCTCCACTGAATCTGCGTTGATTTACTGGAAGAATTAACGAAGGTGGAGGTGAATGACGGAATCACGATATGGACTCAAGACCTACCTGTGTGTGCTTCTCAGTTTGCTTTACGAGTAACAGAGAAATTGTGACCGCTGTCTTTTGGGTGGTCGAATGAAGTCTACTCCCCAGCGTCCGACTAGTCTCACTTTTGAAGCCATGAGTACTAGATTTTGATGGAAAGAATGTGTGACATTACCACATAGTACACGTCAGTCAAAGAAGTAGAACAGGTTCGTGTAGATTCCAAACAAAGATTCAAAGTCAGGCATGGCGAAATCCAGCTTTGCATGCATTCTGTAGCTATAGTTACCACGCGAATTGGACTCCGACTGGGCTGTTTGTTTCCCGCCCACTCCCTTCTAAGTAATCAGGACGTTCGTTAAGATTGTAAATGAGACGGAGCGATTTCACTCAACTCAGTCTTTTGCTGCTAAGATTACAGCATGCGAGACGTAGAAACCGGGCCGTGCGCGATCACAAAAGGCAAACGGTAAAGGGTCTCGAACTCCGCAATGCACGTCCGTCCGAAGAGAAGTTGGGAATGTGTAGCCACTCAGATCACTTTCGTACGAGCAAGCAGGCAAGTTGTTCCTCACGCCCTTGACAGATACAAAGTGATGTAATTGTCTGAGCGATCTCGAGGCAATCTCGCAGTTGCCTGCTCAGCCCGAACCCAGTCAGTAGTGGGAGAAGAGCAAGGCCTTGCACCTGCAAAAGAACAAAAGCCGCCGGCCACTGAAGCCCGATCGAGATGCGTTCCTTGCCCGTGCTCACTCTCGGCAGTAGGCTTTTGGGGTCCCAACACACCCTCATCCCGTAGCCTGCCCGCCTGCCTGCCTGCGTGCTGTCTGTCTGCTTGCAGGTGTCTGCGAAAGAAAACTGCCACCAACATACGAAAGAGATCGGAGCATAGAGCTCTGATCGACATGCTGGGGCGTCGGCAAGTCTACCACTGAGTTCATGTTCCATGATCATGTCGAAAGACAGTTGGTTGCGTCGGGGCCCGGTCTCTGACACGCCCTACTCTCAAACGCATCCCCAACTTCTCGCCTAGTGTGCAAGTCGACATACTCAACACATGATGATGATGATGATGAACGATGAATGATGGCGAAGGAGGGACCCTCGAGCAACGGGAGTGCGTCGGATGGATTGAGGGTACTTGACCCGAGACTGCCTCGAACCAACTAATCAACCTGAAGCTCTGTCCGACTGACTTCTCATCCTGCAAGCTCTTGTGCTACAGCTGAAGGCAGAGGCAGAGGCAGCATTGACGATTCATGCTCATCTGATTCATTGACTCCCACTGACTGCCGACGAAGACTTCCTTCGGTCCAGGTCTCAGCTGATGCTGTGTGAAAGTTCATCAGGTCCCATCGGGTTGGGAATTTGGGATCATAATCACCTTGAGACACGCTGAGTTTCAGAATCTAAGGTCTCGCTGCTTCGTTCGTTGTGCCCACTTGGTGCTGTGATTCGAGTGACTCTCATGTGCCCTTTGTCCCCGTTTGAGATTTGGGAGGCATTTTCTATCCGCATCTTCTATCTATTTCTTCTTGTAGTATTTAAGATTGGCCGTACCGAGGTCGTTAGCTCATGTCCTTCAATTCTCTCCTTGGCTGAACTGCTCTAACGTCGAGTGACCGGGATGTCACTCAACATCACCTTCATGACTTCGGTCACCGGAAGTTTGATTAATGAGCGGTCCCATTCGAGGGCGGACGAGCACATAAATAAATAAATAGAGCTAGGCTGTGTCTAGACAGTGGTTTGTGAATTTGTAGTTGTATGATCCGATGTATGCCACAAAGTTTAGGCCGAGCCAATTTTGTGCCAGATCGAGCACAGATTAGAAATGACCGAGTTGTTGTTGCACTTTTCCAAGTTTTGTTTCTGTTTTAATTTCACCGGACACTTCAGGATGGGGACATTCACGTACCATAGAATAAGGGTCTGCTAGGAGTTGAAGATGGGGAATATTTAATGCAAGTGATACTCGTGTAATCTATTAGACGAGTAGAATCAACTCTACTGTCTGCAACCTGTTACGGAAAATTATATTCAATCACTTTAGAGGCCTTACGGTTTCGAGATCTCATTTTGGGGCATACTCTATATAATATCACCCCATTATTGATCTGGAGATGTATGCACTCGGGGAAGTTGGGCACATGATTCTACTGTGGCTGTGAGTCGTTGGGTAGAGTAGCCAGATCAGAAAATCTCTGTATATCAACAAGAGCCTATACGGAAGAGTTGGAGTACCAAGTTTTATAGCAAAAAGGACGGGAAGCCCAATCATGCCGTACATGTATGAGTCCAAACGAGTAACATGGGCTAGTCCCCCAATAGCATCGCATTAGGAAAAACATGTGCCACCATTCTATCCGTACGATATGGAGACAGAGAGTTACGAGGTGTAACAATTTAATGAGCAATGTCAATCTAATTCGAGAGCTTATATAGAAGGGTTACATCTATACCTGCAAAGGTAACTGTAGAACATTACGAGCGATATAAATCTTAGTTGAGAATCTTCTTTTCTTTTTAAGTGTCTTGTGAGAACAAAAAGCTTCAGCTGTACTTTCTACGTCGAGTTGAGCTCCAGATTCGGAAGAATGTTCAACATTTTCCATTTTCTAATTCTAGACCCTACATAATCTTCTCATTTCATCCGAGTATGGTAATCCCAATATTTGACGTACACACATGTCTTTATTTTGTGTTGTTACTTCATCGGTGTTGCTTTGTTTTCAGTAAATGTGTGTCTGCATCTGATTTTTTCAAGATTGGAAGCCAGACTTACTTCATGTTAGCTAGTCTTAGGAACTAAGTCCAACACTTACCATCACTGGTAGACTCTTTATTCTGAATCCATGTGGAAGGACATATCTAATATGAATAACATACTGACTAGAACAATAATAATTATGCTCATATTTAATCTACATATTAAAATAATATGTAGATCGTGTTTCTCCAAGATTTCATAGACAGAAGTGCAGAGCTGTAGTATTTTATAGATTTCCGCTGCCGGATCTCAAGAAATATTAGAGAGAGGTGTTAAGCAAGACGATTGGAACAATCTGAAAATTCTAAATTTCCGAATATAAAGGGTGAAAACCATAACTCTTAACGAGGTCTTAGATTCTTAATTTAGCAAACTATTGGTTTTGGACTTCCACATACAGAGGGCTGGACAGTTTCATGCCGACAGTTGATTTCGTCCTTGAGATAATAGATGTATATATATATATATATATATATGGATGGTAGCGAGCACGGTGCAAGGTGATGTTTCCGAGATTCCAAAAATCAAGTATGACGAGATAGATGTAATCGTTGATACTTATCAATGATTACATCGTTGAACGATATCTTGGAGCCTCATGCTAATATCGGACCGATGTTTTCAAGTTCCAATACCACATCAACGTGAAACTCTAGCTAAAAATCTTTGACCTTCTAATAAATTCGCTACATTTGCTGAACATGTAAGGGTGCCTGATTTTCTACTCTTAGAGATGATAGACAACCCTTGTAACAAAAAATTACATGGAAATAGCCCAAGGACGTTTGCACATGATCACTGCAATGATACTATTTAGGCCTGAAGGCTTCCAGTGTACAAGTCGATACTCTAAGAACAAAACTGAATTCCAAGGCATGATTTGAAAAGTTAAAAACAGTCATTGTACTAAGAGAATAAAACTGCAGTGCGATCTATGGAACAACTATACAATACACGCAAAGACATTCTCCTGATTCTGCATATTGCCAGTGAGGGTGCTCTTCGTCCGATCCGTCATTCATGAGCAATGATTCGCATCGGAAGCAGATGCCACAACTTGGAGTCTCATAGTTTCAACTCCAGCAGATTCGGGCACTCCTGTTTCGTTGCCATAGAAGGTGTGAGCTGGATCCCCCACAGAGGCAGAACAACGCTGGCCTCGCACACCCAGCAAAGTAGAGTTATCCACAGGAGACAATTATGCTCTTGCCTGAAGGAGCTCAACAATTCCTTCCCAGCTCGAGCCAGGGAGAGAATTCTTCGCAGATAATATCCGGCTTCGTCAAAAGGTTAAAATCGAGAGGTGCATACGAGAATGAAGATCAGATGCAGATTTAGAAATGATGGAATCCCCAAGGAAAGCTCTTGTGCCCGCACCGAAAGTCAAGCCTGGAAGCTCGAGCCCTCGTTGCCCCCAGTTCCTCTCCGCTCACATCCGTCGTCCAATGATTTATTCCATAGCTCGCGCAGCCTCGGATCGCTGGGCTGACCCGTATTCTAACTCCACTCGCGCAGTGCCAGCACTAGAGTTAAGGCGGTTGCGAGAAAAGTCGTCCGTGCCGAGGCGGTACACAAAGGGGGAGGAGGGGGGGTTCAAAGTGTTGTCGTGGGGTGGAAAAGGGGGAAGAGGGGAGGGGGAGGGGCGTAATTATGACGCCGTAACAGGAGAGGCAGGGAACAAGGAGGAACGGGGATGCAATCGAAACTTTGAAGAGAATTCAACGGGAAGAAGGAGGCGTTGGGTGCAGTTTGCCTCTCAGGGCTGCCCGGGGCAGGTCGGTCGGTCTACTTGCCGGAGACCCGGAGGAGGACCGGAAGACGGGGAGAGCGGCTGGGCCACTGGGCGCGACCGGCTGAAGCCGGTGCCTTTGGCTTCACGGGAGCTATGGACTTTTCTCCCATCCCCGGCAAAGATTTTGTCCCGGTCTCTCGCCTCGCAGAACCGTCCGATTATCGATCGGGCGGCCCCCGTCGCTTCACCTCGTTCGTCCCCCGCGACGACCTTTATCCATCCTGTTTGCAGATTTCACGCTCTCCCCGCGATAAATCTGCGCCGATAGTAGCACGACAGCCGTCCGATCCGAGATCCAACCGATCGACTTACAGGTTGAAGTTACTCCTATCGGTTACCGCGACGAGTTCAAAGGCCGCTGGTTCCCGCCACCGCGAAAGGGGAGCTCCGATCCGGGCATCCATCCGGGCAGGCACGAGAGGCGGACGGAGGGCGGGGCCTACCGAGGGAGGTCGGATCCGGGGGAGCGCGGACCGCCAGTCCAGCCGAGTCCAGCCGGACGACCGGGCCGAAGGCAACCGCGTGGAGCGAACGCCGGCCCCGACCGGGTCGCCACCACCACGGTCGCTCTCCGATCGACGCAACGCGCGACGACGGACGGGACGGGACAGGACAGGACAGGACAGGACGAACGGGCCGGAACGGGCCGGGACTGGCCCCGGCCCCGGGCTATGGCGGTGGTGGTACCACCACTCTCGTCCTCTTCGTGGTGCTGCTGCTGCTGCTGCTCCAGAAAAGAAGAGCCCCGAGGCGCGCAGCATCATCGTCGCCAGCAGCTGCTGCTCTGCTGCCCCTGCCGTTGCGCTGCGAGACGAGGAGAGGAGAGGAGAGGAGAGGAGCAGGCGAGGGCGCGGAGCATTGGTTGGAGCTGGAAAGAAGAAAGGCGGAGCTGGAAATGCTCGAATGCTCGCCGCGTAGAGGATTGTCGATTGCAGGTGCTCGTTGATGAAGTTTGGGCCCGATCCCCGTGGTCGGCAAAGAATGTGATATCGACCGAATCTTGCTGCTTGCTCTCGCCTAGAGGATGAGGAAGCCCAAGGATTCCGTCGCTAGCGAACCGTGAGGTGAGTGGATTTTTCGAAGGGCTTTGCAAGCGGTCGGGATTTGTGGCAGCGAGGTTCGGCGGGGCTTGATATTTAGGACGTCGGGTTGCGCCGAGAGCTGGGAGTTTGGGTGGGGAGAAGCTCAGGCGAAGGAAAAGGCGAGGAGCGGCGGGAGTGGGCAGCTGAGTGAGTGGAGGGTGTTTGGGGAGCGAGGGAATTGGAAAGAATGTCTGGCACAGGGAGAATAAGGGTGAATGGGGAGAAGGTTGGGAAGCGAGAATGGAGTGGGACATGGCAGTTGCTGTGCCTGGCGTTGATGTTGGCAACAGGGGCGTGGATATCACTTGTGTTCTCGGCCAAGAATCAGTGTGCACCGAGCCATACACCTTGGCAGGGGCCGCCATCGGCGTTCGGGTGGTCGGACAGTCCAGGGGATGTCGCGGTCGACACCCAAGGCAGCGTTACAGCCATTCAAAAAAAGAAAGCGGTGGAAAATGGGACCCGGATGGGTGCCGGATCGTTGTCGATCAAGCAGTTGGTCTTTGGGATTGCCGGATCAGCGCAGCTCTGGCCCAAGCGCCAGGAGTTTATCAAGCTCTGGTGGCGCCCTAATGACATGCGAGGTTATGTTTGGCTCGAAGAACCCGTGCCTGAGGTCCCCGGTGTGAATCTGCCTCCTGTTCTGGTCTCGGAAGACACTTCTAGGTTTACGTATACCCATGCCCTAGGACATCCCTCTGGAATTCGAATTTCCAGAGTCGTCTCCGAGACCTTCAGGCTCCGTTTGCCCAATGTAAAGTGGTTCGTAATGGGGGATGATGACACTCTGTTCAACGTGGACAATTTAGTGCAGATGTTGAGCAAGTACGATCCCTCGGAAATGTGGTACATTGGGAATCCGTCCGAGAGTCATCGACAGAACGATCATTTCAGCAGCACCATGGCTTATGGCGGGGGAGGATTCGCAATAAGCTACCCTCTCGCAGCGGCCATAAGTGAAATACAGGACAGCTGTATGGAACGTTACCCGCAGCTGTTCGGGAGTGACGATCGTCTACATGCCTGCATTACGGAGCTGGGCGTGCCCCTCACCAAAGAGCCTGGGTTCCATCAGGTATGGCTCGACTCGAGTTGGCGTGAGTGGTAGTATGTTGATCGAGTGGAATTAGTCCTCAACCATGTTGTTGCTCGTTGCTCGTTCGCTCATTTTTTAAGATCTTCCGCGTGAGCAAGTATAGTAAAACGTGAAGTGAGTCAGATCCAGGAGAACAGCTTTCATGTAATTCTTTTCATTCGTTGGGAAATGGTCCTTGGACCTGATTTTACGAAGATCCCTTCATGTAGTTTCTGTCTTTACTTTTAAGATTTTTCTTCCAAGGAGTGAATTTCAAAGTGACTTTGAGGCGGCTGTGTACTGACTGCTGAGGCTTATGTGGTTTCACAGTTCGACATTATTGGAAATGCATTTGGATTGCTTGCAGCGCATCCAGTTGCCCCTTTTCTCTCAATGCACCATCTGCAGTTGATAAGGCCTCTGTTCCCCGGTAGGACTGCTCTGGACGGCCTCCGACATATAAGCAAGGCAATGAAGACCGAACCAACGAGCTTTTTACAGCAGACGATCTGTTACGACCGGAAGCGGAGCCTATCGTTTTCTATCTCCAATGGATTTGTTGTTCAAGTATTTCCCCAAATTATTTTGCCGCGGATGTTGCAGCGGCCCTTGAGAACTTTCTCAGCTTGGAACCGTGTGAGTGAACCTCTTGAGTTCACATTTGATACACGGCCTGTACCCAAGTCCATATGCAAGCATCCCCTTAGATTTTTCCTCGATGACATGATATACGATCATGACAAGGATGTTACGATTGGACTCTACAAAAGACAGATTGCTATCGATAAGCGGAAAAAGTCAGGGCTGTGCTGGCCATCTGCATTAGCTCCGGATCAAGTCACTCACATCAGAGTCGTCAGTCATGCACTACCTGATCACTGGTTTCATGTAAGTGAAATTTCTCCCCATAGTGCTATTTGTTTGGTTTTAGTCCATTGGACATGGAAACGAGCATTTCTCAACCGAAGTATGTCCCCTCTCACTGGTTTCTATCCTATCACACGGAAAAGCGTATCTTTCTTGCTGCTTCGGAGGAGCTATGTTTTCAAGTACTACACGGTTGAGCGTGTTTCCACGTTAAATTTTTTTATATGTTTTGCCCTTGAAGTTATCCAAACACTTAAAATCTGTCAATTTTTTGACTGCTCAGGTCCCGAGGAGACAATGCGCCCATTTGACCGGGATTGTAGATAAGGTCTTAGGTATTTCAGTGGAGCCCTGCCAACCAGGTGAACTTATTCCTAAGTAGAACTATTGAATGAAGTGTAGTTTAGTTCTGATCTTCCAGGCTTTTTGCTGAGAGGCAGTTCACATAGCCAGGAACATTTTGAAAGGAGGGTTGCGTACAGTGGCTGGCTGCCTCTAGTGAGAAAGATAATGGCACTGTTCGACAGCAAATCGTGTTGGGGATCATTGAATTTCTCGACGCGCCCTGCTGATCTGCTGATGGAAACTTCAACTCGCCAGCGAGAGAACGACGCACATCATTGCAGTTGTAGGCCTCTACAGGCCGGGAGCAAAATACCGCAAATGAGATGCTTACAGGGGCCGTGTTTTGATGTAGATTACGAGGAGTTGAGGTTCCATAATATGTTTCACTGATCCTTCTTAAGATCCAGTAATTTATCTGGTGAAGGTTTTAGGATTGTTAAAGAGCTCAGTAGTAGTTTCTCTGATGCTCGCCAACGAAAGGTAACAAAGAAGTCGGTATAAATCCAGCACACCATTGTGTGCCAGTCTAGGGTGCATATTTACGGGAAATTCTTTGCCCCCCTTGTCCTTGGGGGTGCCATATCTGACAATTAGTTTCCTCAGCTCTCTGCCTCATAGAGTTAGAAGCGTAGAAGTGGGGGATGCCTCCGGAAGTGAAGTCATCATGTACTCTAAGTTTTGATCAATTTATTGCGTTTGTCCAATCCATTCTCGCCTCCGTCATGTTTTTTTCACTCGAGAAGACCTTGACAGGCTTGGACACCAAACAACATACCAATGTCAATGGAATTTGTGTATGAATTTGTTGTAGAACAGCTTGAACAGTATGATCATGCTGCTCTTTTCTGTGCAGACCCGGCTGCTGCAAAGGGTCATCCTGCTTTGTTATTCGGTCATGTGGAATGTATGTGATTCTGTTTTCCATCTGTTCATTTAATATCTCTGCATGGAGCGATGCATAGACACGTTTCTGAGCCAACAGACAAGCATAGAATGAACTTGTGAGTGACTGATTGAGGTCATTTGTTCAAAGGTACGGATCAAGATCGTTCAGTCCTTCCTCCATGTTGTACTTGCATGTCTTTCTCCGAAACACACAAAACAGTATACTTCAGTTTTACGTTACAACTCATCAGTCATGCTAGTCATTGTGACACTTACCGGGAACGCAGATGCTGCTTCACAGCCATTGTACTGGGAGCGAGGGCTGGCGTGACTGATACACTATGCAGGCGCAAGTACCTCGACACTCAGCTCCTCAATCTCTCACTAACGCACTTCACGAGATACCATGTCAGGTGTGTTTGCCACATGAGTAATTTCATCATTTAAAACCCAGCACGTCATCACATAGCTCTCACCATGCCATGCTTCGCCTTGCCTCACAGCTTGCTTCTCCTCCGCCAAGTGGGGCCACTTGTTATTTACCGACCTACCCGAAGTCGCTCGGGACTCCAACTGCCAACCAACGAACTGCCCTGCCCTTGCCAAAAGAAATTGAAACCCCGCCCCTACAGCAAACAGAGACTGCAATGCATCAGGTAGTTCCAAACACCTGATTTGGCAGATTGTTCTTATATTCTACCGCAATGCTCGAGTGCTTCGGGAGTGATCAAGGCCATGCCGTGGAACTACTGACCTCAGCCTGATGGAGAGGGCAGTGACCTCGGCCAGATTCCTCTGGTTGCGGAGGAGCTGGGTCGGGATTGGATTGGACAGTAGCCAAGGGACCAAGGGGGCTAGCTATTAGCTTATTAAAATCTAGTTTTTACTTTAATAAAGCAGGTAGCGCTGTTGATGTTGCTGTTGCAGGGAGACGGATCATGGGAAAGGCAAGGATGCTTGATATGGAAGGTTTGTGTTTGTTTTTTTGTTGACTTATGTCCATGGCTGGCTGCAGTCTTGGACCATTTCCAGGTCGAATGCGCCCGCGATTTTTGCGACATGTGGTGCTTATTGTTAGTATCTGTCCTGCTCTCCTCATACCACCTCCCCACGTACACTTCCGTATTCTCTCCACTGTCCTTTCGCTTGATTCCCTGCTGGACTCAAGCATGTGCTGGTTTCCGTATGTTCCTTACCCATTTCCTCTTCTTCGATCTATACCACTTTCACTGTTCTCTCTGGTCTCCATCAATCCTCGCTGGTGCCCACCTGCAGCTCTTAGTTTTTGTTTCTCTCCAGACTTTTTTCTCTTTGTCCTTCTAGGACCATTGACAATGGTCTCATATGCTGTATAGTCAGCGTTGAGGTGAAATAGCATCTTTTCCTCGTTTCCTTGCGGATGATTGTGAGGTGCTTGGCTTGGAGGTCATTGGTGTTTGGATTCAATCACTCACCTCGGATCTACCCATTTGCTTAGCAAGTCTACACTTTTTAGCTTCATGACTATTTGCATGATTTCAGCGGGACGAGTGAAATAGTCATGAAGCTAAAAAAGACAAATACTTTACGGCTGCGTGTTTAGACCATGCGAGTGTCATCATCTGATTTATTTATTTTTTATAAACCTTACACCCTAAACCCTGATTTAAATCACCATCTGCTTTGCTATGTAAATAAATAATATGTGAAGCTTCAACTTAGCTGCTCTTCGGTTAGCGTCATTTTCTCTCGTATGGATAGGCGGAAAGGGTGGGACTGGATATGCAACATGTTGGAAGCAGTGTAACTTCACCAGAGGAAGGTTTTGGCAGTGGGGTTATGTGAAAGTTTGACTGGCTTTTTATTCAATTTATTCAAGTTTGTGATATATGTACAGTTGGATACAGGCCTCTTGCTTCGGTTGTGTGAGCGGCGTAGCAGCCTCTGAACTTTTGTGCCAACATGTAACTCTCATCAGTGAACGTTGAATTTCTGTCCAAGTTTCACACTCAAACGGGAACATGTTCCTCATCTTTGCAACACCTAAAGATTGTCACATCCTCCCATAATCATACTTGAAATCATGTAGCGCTAATATGATAAATGTTACAATTTTTTTGGGGCTCGTTATAATTAAGGCTCAAGGATAAAGACTAGTAGTGTAACAGTATGTTTCTTTTCTTTTTTGAATCGCAAGGAGGTGGAGGATACGCTTTCTCTCCTCTCTGTCTTTTGTCCTCTCCTGTCCGCCAAAAAGGCATGCCCCCGGGCGAGGGCATGCCTCATTTGCATTTTGTATACGGGGCATGCCCGTATGTATATACGTATTAATCATAATGTAACTTCGGAATATTCGTATATGCATCGTTTTTTTTATTTCTATTCAGGTGCGAAACTTTTCATGAACTCAATCCCAGGTCTTAAATATGGTCTGCAGCAATGAAATGTCTGCGCGATCTGAAACAGCACTCAGAATCTGGTGTAGTGAAAACGTGGAAAACTCTCTGGTGTAGTGGTCTAGTACTTAGAATGTGATGTAGTTGTATAGTGCATGTGGAGGTCATCTCGAAATATATTGTGCGAAGTTCTATAAATTATAAAACATCGTTCAGTATACTCTAACTATAACTAATTGTATATTGATATTGATTTTAGTTAAAGTTACTTATTATACATATAATCACGTATTATACTTAAATTTAGGTATATTTTGTAAATATTGGAAATATACGTATTGTGATACGGGCATGCCTGGGGGCACGGGGCATGCCTTCAAAAATTTGGTCGTGCCTCCAACCCTACCAGCCCTCCCGAGCCCCGACCCCAGTCTCTCTCACGGTGGTCGGGGAATCAATTTTTTTTTATTTTTTAAAAATGTTTTCCACTACTTATGCATATGACAACAAGAGAATTTTCAAATTCCAATATCTAGTGAATTTAATGATTTAATTTTAATAATTATGTGATTATAATAAAATTGGAAATTCCTAGTAATCCAAATGAAATCGATTGGCTTTAATCTACATGAGAGATAAAAATGCGATTTTAGTTTAGAGCTTATTGGATGAACGCTTACTGGTAAGAATGGGGGTATTATTAGAATTTAGAATTAACATAAAACCTAACGTGGGAAATAATTATAAAAGAACAGAAAGTTTCAAATTCTACTCCTATTTCGAAACTTTTTAGTTGATCAAATTTGTTAAACATTGATTTGTAAAAGATGTGAAACTTGATGTACTCCTAAATTGAATCGAATGCACTGAATCGTGCTAAAATATTTACGTTTGAACGGTAATATGAAGCTTAATTTTCAAAATTGATTGATTTCATGATAATCAGAATATAGATATCTATCGTTGATACTCACATTGTTCTAAATAAAATACTAAAACGCAATGTTAGGTATAAGTGTGTAGAAAATCTATCTTGATCGAATTTTATAAGAAATTTTTCTTTGTGATTGATTGTTGGAAAACTTTGCTAGAAGTTTTGAAAAGTTCATTAACAAGCCCTAACTGGAAAAATCTCGATTGTGATCTTGCTTGCGTAGGATTTTGAAAATATTTCCAATGATGTTACAAGAGCAATATCTATGAAGCATAGACAAGTCATTCGAGTACATTCAAATCTTCACTCCCTACCATTCTTCTTGCACCCGTTTACAATCAACATGTGCTTATATGTTGGATGAATCATTGAGAACCTTACAATCAGAATGAGTTATAGAATAGCAACAAGTATAAGCATAACTCATCAGATCGTACAAAGATGTAACCAATGTGGTACGATGGAGTCAGCCCCAATATGATCACAACGGTGAATGTGTTGTACTGAATTTATTTATTTTTTATAACATAAATAGCCCAACTTTGGGGATCATAAAAAGTATGACCTATAGTCTTTGCTCATGGTATCATTTAAGGATTTTTTTGAAGAGTAATGGATGCAGTATTCTGTTAAGGCTACAAAATATACTTCAAAATAAACCCATAGCCGTTTCGGTTCGTATGGTAGGTTATCATTAAAAAATATACTCGAGAACCATAGTTTTATTTAACTCAAAGTTTAAAATATTAAACTATTTTATTTCTTTGGATAATGAATATCTATGTAAAAAAAGACCTTGGGTGCTGCCGATGCAATGGTCGCAAATCATGAGAATGTGTAAAATATGCAACGTCAAGCGAGCATGAATAAGATGATATCCTAGTCTGTGTGAGTTCCTAGTATTCATCAGTTGTTGCCCTTCCTCCCTTTAGAGAGAAACCGTACAATCCCTTAAGACTTGTGGGAAAAGTGCACTGTTTCATGAAAGTGAAGATATCCTTTTGTAGGAATTTGATCTGCAACTATTGCAGAGACATCAACACAATTCTTACTTGTCAGATGGACTCCAGGGCTCCAAACGTCCGATGTCCCCGAGGATGGAATTGCCACGATCTGCACAACGTCCTTCCGCCCTCTTCTCTTTCTGACCGGAAGTTTTGTCCTTGCCGTTACAAACGTTGCAGTGGCTTGTGTTGCTGCCTGCCAGCCAGTGCATGACCATCCCTCGATGATGATAAGATCGAGTCCAATCCGTGGTTCTTGAATACTCTAGAGCATTTACTTCACCTGATGCCCGTCACTTCCAAAGTCAGAAATTCCAGTACATTTAAATCTAGCGTGAGTGTGTATAAGTTCACTCTGTAGTGGCTTCAAAATTCCTAGGCTCTACCGAGGGCAGGTCTCATGAATGCCAATGCATTTCCTGAATTCCTCTGGATAAGAACCAAATCCAGCTGGCATGTTGTATCACTCGTTGATCAAATCCGTATCTTATAGTGAAAACTATGCGAGAAAGGGCGGCTGCATCGAGCATTTTGGAAGCTACCTCCACTTGATTCATCTGAATCATGCATGGTTGAATCCCCGGAGAATGTTAGAATGTCATGTAACCATCATGGTGCCGGTGGCATGGAACGTGGGGCGGGACTGCCTTATGATACTTATGTATATTACGGTTCCAGCAGACACAGCATGCAGGATGGCGTTGGACCATGGCGTAGCTTCTCATTCAGTTGCACGGTTGGAAGTGAAATTTGGATTATCTATGTTATACTGCTTCAAAGCCCAACTTGCAGGGACATTTATAGTAATCACGTGTAGTCTATCCGAAAATCCAGCTGCTTATAAACAAATCCGCTGGACCGACTTCCCAGTTGCAAGGCAACATGATGCTTTTTATGGTCCCAACTGAGAACAAAGTCTGCCTCCTCAGGATAAGTTGGCAGTTGTTTGCAAAAGTAGGCCATGTGTGAGACAAAGAGCTCAAGACATGAGAAGCGCCGGCCGTGGCCGTTGATTTCCACTTCAATGGACTGTAATGGAAAACTGTAATGGAACACAAACAGCTTGTGTTCACCTCGTGGGCGTAGAAGCCATGACTCCTGGAAAAGAGAAAAGTGCTGTTAGAAACGTTGCTGTACACGTCGTGGGACGATGAGACCGTCCTCTACATTGTGTAGTGTCCATTGAAAGATTACTATTCCGGGGGTAGTCCGATACTTTTCCTGCTGTTGTTCGAATTTGGCACTTTTGCATCTCCACAAGAGATAATGGTCTAGTTGTTCAAGGTCGTGCCTGCCGATGAACCGAAAGTATTAATTCTTAACTGCATGGATCCCTTCTTCAGGTTTACAATGTGACCTCTTTCGAAGTTATATGAACCTGTCTACAACACGTGGGAAAACTTAGTCCGTATTGAAATATGTGTTTTTCTATATTCCTCGATATTGTTCCCTTTCATTTCATTCCTTGATGATGTCAAAATGTTGGCCCCCCTTAAAAAAAAGACAGCCATTCATTCATATAGAAGTTATTTAAGTCTATCCACTTAAATTGTGTTATATAACGTAATCCAGAGATCTTGCAACTGCATAAGGACTTCGGAGAAAAAACACCATATGCACACACACACACACACAGATGTGTACATTAGTTCGGTTCCTAGAGAGAGGGACTGACAGTTGAATAAAAGTTGTAATTCTTGTTTTCGTTTTTTCGCACGGATCTGCTTAGTCAAAGGAATAAATCGAAGAGGTTTATATCATTCGGAAGTCATTGCAGCTGTTTCAAGAAGGTTAAAATATGACAGCTATAGATATTTACCCTAGCCAGACGATTCATCTATAACTTTCCTTCCTACTCCAGGATGAGCTTTGATCCATGAAGAGCAGTCACTAACCTATATAGTACCAGGAGATGACAAAGGACACAATAATTAACTGCATGTGCTGTCCTTTATGATTACTCGTAGCAGGTCCCCTACATTCCATGGAAATACTGGCTTGTCTCGATGACTCCTTCGTGCAACTATTGAGCTACTGGGCGTTTCGAGAGGACAAAATATATTCTCATCTTTATTTGGCTTGACACGACATCTTTCCGTGAAGCTATGAGAAAACTGCAGACATCAGTCAGATTAAGTTGGAGCCACTCAAATATCGTCGCCTAGACCGCCTTCAGGCCTCAAACCATAATCGTATGGAGTTAACTGTCACTTCCATTTGGCTGTCCTCGACTTACCCGCAACGGAAACGGAGTTACACGACCTTTAATCTTTGTCAGCAGTCTTGCACAATGTTCTACTTAGTTAGTGATACGATGAATTCCACCTACACACTGCTTCAGCATTAGAACCATGATTCTGGCTTTTTCCGATAGAGATGCGACTCGAGATGAAAACTGTCGAGAAGCATGTAAAAACATGTGCTTAACACACTTTTTGTCACGGATTTCATCCAAGTGATCTCAAGAATTAAGTCGTGTTCTCAAACCTCTTAGCAAAGTAAATGTAAGGAGACAAACGGTAAAGGTGAAACTCTTTGTTGCGGGAGAATCGTACATGAAAGGAGATTCGTGGAAAAGTCGCCGAAAGATAGCTCCAGGTGGAAAATTGATTTTTAGGCTTAGAGATCTAATCCTCGAAAGATGTGATGAGTCGAATCTTTCAAATTTTAATATAATACAGCACAGTTAATAAACCACATAAGTTATGAACAAAATACAGACCATACTAAGGATTGATGTTTTGAACAGATAGAAAAACGACTCTCCATGAGGTTATGGTGTTGTACTCGATATAAATTTGATTTGGTACAGTCTCCTCAACAGACGCACAAAGGGTGCAGATCGATGGTTTGAAGTAAGGTGACGCTGAGCATTTTATGCACTGCATAGCCACCAAAAGACCCTGTGCCCTGAATGGACAGCAAGGAAGAGGCAGAGATGAAGTAGTGAGAAGAATTTCTAGGGAGACGAGACCTCAATGTACAAATACTTCAAATAATTGAGCAGTCGGTGTCTACATTAGACAACAACATACCCAGCCGATCATCAATGTGTTGAACTTCCGAGAACACGATTCCTCCAGGATAAGACGAGATTCACCAGACTTCAGAGACAAAAAAAAAAAACACTAGCAACACTTAGGGAGTTTCGCTCGAAATTGCATGGTGGGACATCAGACATAAAATCATCGTGCCTGACACTAAACATCACATCTTGTTCACGGAAAGTGCTTTTGTTCATTTGCTCAACTGACTGACTTGAACTTGGTCATACCACTACCTACGCCTTTCTAGCTTATACACTAGAGCAATATACTCTAGCAAACAACCTGCACACTAAAATACAGTAAAGTGTGGCATGCCAAGCGCCTTCCGGTGTTCACAAGGTGGATGGTGCCAATCCATTTTTTCCTTTTATATCTATCAATTTGAAAGGGGATTTCACTCAAGAAATGATTCAAACTTTACACCCTGTGGTATGTTCAGCCAATTGAACTCCTCTTGATAGTCCTTTTTCATAGGCTTATATAGCATTCATAAAACATGTCCTTCCGACATTCTGCCAATGAACAGGGTAAGTGATCAACCCACCTGGTTTATCTCTATAATAAGAATGGCAATGGATGTTATGTGAGCTCACTCACATTGCAATTGTTCACATGAAGAACAACCTGATCATCCTGTTTTGGTCCCCATTATCACCGACTGGGAACTGTCCGATAATAAAGAGTAAGATCATCCGGCTTTTTCCACACATACGCTCGCACAGTAGCTAAGCTCATTTCTGGTGGTAGAACCTGATGGAGTAAAGATCCCAAATATTAGAAATTTATCAGAAAATAACTCTTGCTTAACCAGATGAAGGATTCCAAACGAGTAGAAGAACGGAAAGAAAGTCAGTCCAACTTGAACCAACCCTAATGCGTGGGACCAATTTTGATATTCACATAAGAGAAATCAGACTGTGGCGGTGACTTCTCAATCCAAACGAAGTAAGGGACATAACACAATCAGACATGAATCTTGAAGTACAAGACAATAATTACACTGTCTATCTAGAACTTTGGACAGTATGTTTATTGTCTTGTACTTCAAGTTCTAGATATCAAGACAAAATTTGTGATTCAATAGATCTACAATGACAAGCATCAGAATTGATAAGACAAGATTGATATGAACAAGCATACTGCATTGTGATTACAAAAGATCTTGCTAATCAAGGCGATGCAAATCTTGCTGGTAACTAAAGGCTGAAATAGAAACACAATGTGGACGTTTTGACCGTTTCAATAGCGAAACGTTCAAAAGAGTGGGATAGAGACGTGGATGAGACGTCACATACCTGCTGATTACAAAGTATTTCAACCCCAGGTTTACTGAGTTGCCAAGGTCTAGAACTTTGTCTAGATGATCCGTAAGTATTTCCTGATTGATGATTGCTTCCTTGTCCAGATGTAGAGGTCGAATCCGAGGCATTGTCATCTAAAGGCCTGTCCAGAACCAGTTTCTCTAAGACATAATTTACAACCTGGACACAAGACAACACAAATCAGCCTTCTAAAAATTCCACCAGTAGATCAGGCAGTCATACACAAAGTAGCGAGAAATTCCGCTGACAATCTTTTAAACTACATGAAAAATTATTAGTTCTTTTACAATTTCACTTACTTTATGTATCCGCAAAATTCGAGGTGCACTGAGCTTCCCTTGGGTGAGAACTTGTAGAGAAGTGCCTTCACATGGAAGCAGGAAGAAGCTACATCTGCGGATCACAATATTAACCTCAGCACGATAGATAAAAGTTACTCTAATTTGGTTCCTTGGAAATCCTCTCAACCAATATAACATTGATCGATCCTCAGAGCTAGTTGTATTAAAGTGGTTTAAGGTGGGCAAAACATTAGACTTCGAACTACAAAAACAATGATCTATTCGCCCTCCTTTTTGCAGAAGTAAATTGTCTTCCACTGATTTAAATCGTGACTTGAACACGGATGTCATCACATCCACTCTCATCAAAGAGGAAAAAAGGCTACAATCGTCCTTTTTAGATGGTATCTAGGTTTCTTTAAGAACCGATACATTATAAAGTGACTTGTTCAAAGTAGTTCTACGAGGAACACAATGAATAACAAACATGATCCCTCATGGCTGACTCAACAAACAAACATCCGATAACACTTACTTGGCATTGTCCCGTGGAGGAAGACGACTATGGAGCACACAATCAATGCACCATAATGGCAATTCTTTCTCATCTTCAGTTCCATCCAAATCAGTTGCTTTCTTCCGCCAAGGCCCGCCTTGTGATCCTTCTGTAATAATAGAAGGGGGTGAAGTTGTTGAAAATTCGAATGCAGGAATAACCTTTGACTGGTGCATCTCCGCGTCATCATGAGTGTCCTCAGTTACTCTTTTCTCCACTCCATGTTCGCCCCCTGTCCCTGATTCCACACTTGATGCATCTCCATTGGCAAGTGGCGCCGTGGCAGCTCTATGCCTTCGGCGTGACAGCCAGCGATCTAGAAGCCCACGAAGAGTCTCTTGTCCAAGATTCAACTATTCAATTCAAATGACCACAAACACAATAATGAGTTTATGTTTTGAGAGTTTCAGGAAACTATCTTGAACGTTTACCATAAGTAGTAATCAAAATTTCAAATAAGAAGAGATTCGCCAATTGTATTCTAGGCCTAAATAATGCAGTTGGAAAGAGTGAAGAAGTCTGGTCACCTTTTGTTCTTCCGTGGCATGTGGTACATGCAAATCCACAGCATACATTTCTGCTGAGAAACATTGTGGTGTTTCCAAATGCACTGATATGCTCCCAAGTCTTGTGTCCATTGTAAACCAAGCTGGAACACTAACCTGCTCAATTACATGAAATTTAATGTTATGCTTGTGATTATTCTAAAAGTAGGTGAATGTTATGAGAATATATAACCGTTGTTGACAAACTCTGTAAGGCCTAAGATAAATATTATCGCATTTTAACTTGGCTGCGCCTTCTATGTCAAAAAAAGAAGCCTTTCAAATTTATATAAAAGCATGTGCAACTCCTACTCGTTATGTGCATGGAACCTCCTTAAAGTCATGGACATTCTTACCTTCTCAAATAATTCCTTTTCTTTATCTTCGAAGTTGACCTATATATCCACCAATTTCCACAGAATCAAATTTAACTTATAATTTCAGCTGTCAAAAATCATACGAATGGTCAACAATGGTTACAGTTTACAATAGGGACCCTCCTCAAAATTATATGCGGTTTTGAGTGAATGACGATGAGATCTCAAAAGTCTATCTAACCAAAAGTTATCCACGGAACCACAAAAAGTCGCAATTTATGAGAATACTTCTCATTGCAAACTCTCACCTTGCCAAAATCTTTGATAACACTACCACGGGTTATCTCCCACAATTTCAAGACACCCTCCGCGTCCTGCACAAAGAATTTTAAAGCCTTATTTTTATTTCGAATAAACGCCTTGACACGTATATTGCCCAAGCAAATACTAACTAATAACTTTCCTTATCAACAGATCTTCAGATCTTCAATCTCAGAGAAAACATCCTCATCCTACTGACATGGGTTGGGTCAACATCCATCAGGGGTTCTATAATCAGCTTGTAGATCGATATACTGGCCTACTTTTAGCAGTTAGAGTTCAAAACTCACAAAGTCAGTAGGTTCCCCATGCTATACACTACAAGTTGACAAATCAAGAAGTTTTAAAGGACATGTACCTTCGTCAAAACACGACGGCGATCATTTAGAATTGCATGGCGCACGATTCCTGCAGTGCCGGGAATCACAGAGGCTGGTGTAGAATGCAAAGGAACCTGCAAGAAATATGATAATTTCAAAACCATTCAAAATGTCGAAGACTGCAAACATAGACTAAAATAGATCAGGATTCCAATCAAATGAATTTCAATTCATCTTACTACCTATCGACATATGAAGCATCAGATTCTAGGAGAATGTTAAGTAACAAAAAGTGATCGTGGAGTGAATGCTTACAGGAGCAGAGCCATCCAAGCATGCCCTGACACGAGCAAATGGCAAAGACCCTGCAACAAATGAACTAGCCCTTTGTAGTTTTTTAGCAATAATTCGTTCTCGAGCTGGCCATTTGTTGAGAGAGGAATCCGTTGTAGCCACCCACAACCATTCATCCCCTTGCAACGCCAATTGCAACACAGGTTCTTGTTCCATACACAAGAGAGTACTTTCACGAGTTTGTAGATCTGTAAGATATACCTGAAAAAACAGCCCATTTATTCTTGCATCCATTCAAATCAACAAGAGATATATAACAATAACATCGGAAATTCAAATACTGCCAAATAGACCAGAGCTACGTAACAGCGTCACTTATAAACTGCAATAAATATTCATTTTTTAGGCATCTTCTTTACAAAGGAGAAGCTAGCTTTCCTTGAGAAATATAATACCCATTTTAACTCAAGATTATCTAGCACGAAGAATTTAAGATTTGGCTTTCAGTGCTTACAGAGAGATCTCTTCCACCGCTGTATACGTGGCTAAACGACGGAGTGCTTGCAAGAGCCCACACGGAGTCTGTGTGTACAGCATAAGAGTGAACACAACGTTGTTGACCGAGATCCCAAAGGCTGCAAACAAGTTTCTTCCGTTTAGACAGATTCATAAATGCATCCTCTATCTTCCAGCTGCCTCAAGGAAAGCTTATGCCGATATACATCAATATTAACTATTTTCTTGTAGCCACATCACCAATTCGTGCGGCAAGTCTAGCATGCCTAAAAGCCTACAGGAAAGCCAGATAGTAGGAAAAGTAAAATTTACCGTATCATAGAGTCTGAAGATCCGGATAGACAATATCTGCAAAATGTAGAATGGGGAATATACACGTAAGCATACAATATATAAGGTAATTCAGTTCTTTTTCAATAAAAAAATAAACAAAACAACCCTCTTCAATGAAGTCTATAGCGAGACAACTCCCGAGAACGACACAACACCTGCCAGTGGGGTCCAAAAGCAAAGCTCGCACGTTGTCCGTGTGTCCCTTCAACTTCATTTGTTTGGTTCCCGTTCTTGGGTCCCAAACCCTTACAGCCTGCAGAGACAATAAACTGAACACATCAGTATAAGCTTTTCGCAGTCTCTGACAACAATAGACCTCGTAACCTGGTTGACCTTTGCTACTGGCATTCTTGGGCATAAGATTCATTCACACCTAGGTAGTACTTAAGAAACCTATTGAGAATAGTCATATTTATAGTTATGAGTTTTAGGTGTCAACAAACGAAGTCATGACAGCTTTCCTACCTTTTCTGTACCACCCGAAACAAGAGTTGTGCCAGCATCATTCATGGACAAAGCGTAGATGGACTCCTTGTGGCCCTTGGCAGGAATTGGCGAGTAACCTTGAGGAGGGGTCACATGAGGAACTGAAGCATCACTTTTTGCATTTGTTGCGCGATCACCGGTTGAAGCAACACTTGAAGTGAAACTCCCATCTATTGTCCCCTCCTCTGTGCCTTCGTGGGCAACCTTGGCGATTGGTATCATAGCTGCTTCCAGGTCCCATATGAAAACTTCGCAGCCTAGGCCACCAGAAGCCACGATATTGCTCTGACAGACGAGAGGGGCAAGCTCAGGGTGGTTGTCCAGAAAAGTACATAAACTATGGTTTCACGTCTTTGTGCTTATCTAACAAAAGAAATGAGGCGCTAAAGAAAAATAAAATCTGAAGCTCATGAATGGAGAAACTCTCTATAGTGAATCAGTCGTATTATACAATTCTAGGACTCCACCGATAAAGAGAAGTTTGAGAGGTTTTTATCCAGTGTAATTCAGTAACAGTGCTCTAAGATTTGGATATCAAGAGTGAATATTGATTGCAGTCATGAGTAAACTTACGTGCCGGGCTGAAGCAAGTGCGGTTACATAGTCCGAGTGGTGCCTGAATGTCCGAGTACATTCTCGATTTGAAAAGGCGCGCCATGTCTGTGGAAATATATGAATAATAATTACCACTCACACTTGAACATGCGTTTGTGCATTCAGAACAAAGTACAGAGTGAATATTAAAGCATAGTTGGAGAAGAGCCCTACCTTAAGGGTTGTATCTGATGAGCATGATACCAACGTGTCGTCTCCAGTCAGAACCACATCATTCACCTGCTCAGAGCAACCTCAGCTAAGTAACTACAGTTGGGATGATGAATTACAAAGAGATAACGAATAATTGAAAGAGGCAGGATAAAGTCATATATCGTTATGCAGAGGTAGAAAGGGATTCTTACTCTTCAAACGACATCTAATGACGATATGTAAAATCACTTCAAGACCTACGAGTAATAACTCGTAGGTCAACTGCCGAACTTTTGAACTTAACATGACACATTCATACAAAGTTTCCAACCGAGCTGAGAATTGAAAATTTCAGCTCGCACAGAAACCCTAACCCCAAATGCGAGGTCTTACCCAATCTACATGCGACTCGAACGTAGCCCGGCATACTGCGGCATCCTCGCCAAGGTCCCATCGCTTCAGCGTTCCATCTCTACTACCCGTGACGAGAAAATCCTTTCCATCGCCCTCTGAAGGGCTTCCGACCTTGACACAATTTATGCCTGAACAATGCTGTTCGACACAGATGTAAGGCATTAGATCATTGCCACGCTATCAGGTCTGGAGTACACAGAGCCATTCCAAATTCATGCTTCATCACAAGTTGCCTGGAGGATACCCATGCTGTCAGATTTTTCGAGCTCAAACAATTCAATTCTCGGATTTTTTCTTCACAAAGGGTTGTGGCTCAGTTTCCAAATAGAAAATCAACGAAAGAATAATTCCCATCTTTGGGCTTTCTCACCTTGTAGTCATTGGAATCACGCAACACATAAGTGAAGCGTTTCTCCTTGCGTGGGCGAGTATTATTTGCAGCGTTTCCAGTACTGCCCACGCGATGCATATCCGACTGCTGCCAACACTAAATCATTACCCTGCTCTGTGGATCATCACAGACTGCTCCCCCAAAATGCACAAACGAAATCTCGAAGCCTTGTCCGGCTCGATTAGCATCTCTCGATCATTTCCAATGCGTCAGCGGCTCCACCTTGGATTCAATCGGCTTACCAAGAAATTCTTGTCAATTTCCGCTCCGCATTGCTGTGGGGACTAGAGTTCCAAGCGGCGTAGATTTGGAAAGATAAGCGCAATGAGGCAATATCGTTCACTGAGAATCAAGTGATTTTAAAAGGAGTTCCCCAGGCAGACAATGGTCTCAAATCTGGTCAAAAGCAATGACGAAAGATAGGGCGTGTGAATGAGGTAACCACAAACACTTCAGTACAACATCGGATGTGGAACGCCAGCTTAAGGGCGACGAGAGGCCTGAGAATCAAACTCAAGATAAAAAAAATGGAGCTACCCTCGGAGAAAGTACGATAACCTAAAGGACACAAGTGAAGCGCGACAGGGGGACCGGTGGAAGCTACAAATGCCTCATAACGCATGAGAGTTACAAAGATTCCCACAACAAACCACGAGCGGAAGTCTCGGTACACAAAGGGCGATGATTTTTGGACGAAAGGATCAACCAATGAGCATAAAAGAGACTCAGAGACACTCAGAAGCGAAGGGACCAGACCAACAGGAAGTCGCAAGGAGACAAAACCGAGCAATTGCGTCACAGGTGAACGTACAGAGAGCAGGCACAGGGAAGCTAACAAGAGCAGAAAAAGGCCGAGCAGGTAGTGGAGAGCAGTACAGGAGAGGGCAAGCAGGCCAGCGAGATATGAGTACAACAGTGATAGTCTGCCACTATATGCAGTTAACCAAGAAGCCCCAGATCCATGGGACGGATGGATATAGGAAGGCAGGCGGACACTCTGCTTGGATGAATACGCACAAGGATCCTCCCCTCGACAGCTTCCAGCCTAGGACATGGAGTCCAAAAGCCACCACAGGGACCCCGAATCAAAAAATTATTCTATAATAAAATGCTGCTCTTCCTTTCCTCGACTAAACAAAAATCCCCATTCCTTCTCCCACACGCCCGTCTCAGCTTCCTTCTCTCAGCAAAGACCGCAGCGAGAATCAACAGCAGCTCTCATTTCCTTCCCTTCCTTCCTCCCCTCTCCTTCCCGTTCCTTCCTCTTCCCCTCTGCCAATTATTACAGCCGCATCATCCTCGCGACCTCAGCACAAATGACGACGCTGATTGAACTCGAACAGAACGCAGGCAGAAGCGCAATCAACAGTCAGATCTTTCGTTCGTCCTGCTCATCCCCAAATTTTTTTCATGTCATCTGACTCCCTGTCTTCCTTCATCATCCACCAACTCTTCCTGGAATTTATGGCCTCCCTCAATCTATTTTTCTTCCGCTTCTTTCTCCCTTAGGGCTCTCTCTCTCTCTCTCTCTGGCTCTGGCTCGCTTTCTGTCCCCCTTCCTTCCCTTCAACGATGGCGCTGATTCTCCACAGCGTAGCTCTTCTATCTCGCCTGTACGCCGTGCCTCCCGCCGACGCCACTTCGGCAGCTCATCGGGAGCGGAAACACTTAACTCGGGGCTGGGACGCCAGAGCGGGCCACCTGACCTGGACTCCCGTGCATCTCCCGTGGCTCCCCACGGTAGGTGCCGCGAAGGGAATCTCGAGAGGATATCCGAAGAGATTCCACGCCGGGAGTGCGCACCTCGGAAGCGGGGACTGCGAGGGCTGACCAGATTCCAGAATATTCTCTCATTTGTTGTCGGGTCGCACAGTCAGAAGCGTCGCAGCACGGCCCGGAGGACCGGTGGTCGTCGGTCGAAGCTGGAGCTGACGGACTTTGATGGGGACGGGTGGGTCTGGCTCTTGAGTTCCGAGGGGCGCCCGAGGAAGGATCTGACTCACTCGATGACCGGATGCGGCCCATGCTGATGCGCATCCACATCATGCTCGTGACCATATCTCGCTTCTTGTGCTTGTGTGCGCGCTTGCATCTATCCGAAATTGCATGTTCGCCACAACATTTGCGTACTCGACTTGCACATCGTTCACCGCCATTCTAGAGTGTGCTACCACTTCCACCTCCCATCGCTTGCTCATGGCACTCAATTTGCCTCCCGTGGCCCCACTCGGCTCCCGTTCGATTCTTCCGTCTTCGGATCCGACCTTGTCACCGCGGTTCTGTCGAGTTCTTGCTTCCTGGTTCGACCTCTCGTCCTGGCATTTTCGCTCCTTGTGCTCAGGATGTACACCGATTGTCCGTTTACAGGATACGGACGGCTGCCATGCCGATCGCGTACCCTGTAGCCTTACGGACGACGCCTTTTAGGTCTCATCCTCACATGAAAGTTGTCCTCGAGCCATAAAGAACATCTCGCACGAACTTCCCGAGATTTTCCCAAAAGAAGATCGTCCACGAGCTGATAGAAAATTCTTGTACTGTTGTTATCGATCGAATCTGTCGTGAGATGCGGCGCACAGGCATCGAACTACTCGGGCGCAGCTTCGACAACAAGCCGAAAGCTGAAAAGAGTGCCTTGGACTTTCGGTGACGTTTTATAAAAGACGTATACTCACTAGATTTAGACCGGCACATAGGACTCTGCTCTGGGATATCCGTGCTTGAGGTCACCGTCCATTCCAATGGAGGCATGAAACACTTCAATTGTCGACTGCCTTCCGATATCTTCAGATATGCCATGTAGACACTTTCGCCTTTGACTGGATCGTGTCACTTCCTGACGACCACAGTCGAACTGGACCGGCTTCATCTAATTTTAACTTAGGCACTATAATGAAAACTAACTTTGTAATTTTCATGCTTCTATTTTCATAATTGACTTCACTGCACCATAAGAAAATTACTGGATAAACAGAACTGCAACGTCAGCAGTTCCTTTTAAGCATTTGACTAACCTGGTCACCTAAATCTTTTCTCTACACTACCGACTCTTTCAGTTTCACTTTCACCGCATTCGTCAACTTTATGAAGTAACGAAGGATGGGGAAGGTCTAAAGGTGAGCAGCAATAGAGCAAACACAGGAACTAAGAGCAATCACGATGTCGATATCCATCCGTCAAAACACATGTCGCAAAAGAGATTAGGTGAACTCCAGTGACTAAATTCTTTCAATAATTATCAATGGGGCTCTGAAGATTCCGCCATAGCTCTCAAAACTCTTCGTCTTAGACTTTTACATAACTCCGAGGTGTCGGAATTTGAAAGACTTGCATACTTTTGACCAGTTGCAGAGGCTCGAAATGGTTTTCGGTTGACTATATCATTAACCACACTCAGCGTCAACCTTGCAATTTTTTGGCTACTAGTCAGAAAACCTAAAACTACTCCAGACTGGACAGGGTGGGAAGCAAGACAGCTCAGTAATGTTGCCACTTCTCGAATAAGACAAGCTCTGCAAAAACATAACAACGCAACAAAGATTCAGATGAATTCTTAGAGGTGTCTGTTTGAATCGATATAAACACCGTCAGCAGAGTCAATCTACTATCTGGCACCTCAAGAACGCAGTATCTATACAATTCTGAGAAATACATGATCTTACCTCTCTTCAACTAAGCTCGCATCAGTCTCTTCTTCGTCTCGAATTTCTAATTCTGCTCCAAGAAGCGTCACTAGCTTTTCGGGAAAGTTGATCACTGTTTCCAAATCTTCACGATTTTCCGCGAGTCCTGCTTCCACATCATCAGTACCTGAATTCATCCGACCACGAGGGTCGAGCCCTTTGAGCCCAGAGACATCTCCAGCAATATGCTGGCCACTTGCACTGTCGCCAAGAGCCATTCCGTCGGTTTTCTGATCATCTCTACAAGTTCTCGAGGGTTCATCGGCACCAGTCTTCCGAGATGCTACGGGCTGCGTCAAAAACGCAACACCAGCATCGCCGCAAGAAGCAATGAATGTGATCAGTCTCATCACATTTCGTCGAAGCGCATAACCCTGTAAAGAGAAAAGATTCACCGAAGTTAGTAAAGTAGGTGAGGTTCTGCTTTGAACTGAGTTCCGATTTGAGGAGGAAACAAATAGCAAAAATCACGGTTGTGAGCAGCACACCTGAGGACTAATGCCTGTAAACTTTAAACAATCTGCCAACCCCGCCAGCAACTTCCTCTTCATAAGACCGGCAGAAGGCCTGGGAATCAACCCTTTTCCCGCGACATGGGCATCTACTTTGTGATCAGAACTATTCCCAAGGTTGTTGCCCTCGACGACGGTAGATTCCTCCATGACCATTTTTGGATCTATGTAATTCTCAGGCTTTGAGTTTGATTGTTCCTCCGTAGTCCCGTAACAAAACTTTCTGTAAAGAGCGGGGCCTGAAAAACAAAATCATTTCTCAACGTTTGCGTGCCACAGAAGGTCACTACCCATTCAATTCATTCAAAGAAGCACAGCTTTGAAGCTTTGATCCTGGTTGAGAAGACACAAAACATTCGTGATACAGGTCACATCAGTGAGACTCTGATTCACTACACGAATTGAGCTGAGAAACAAGGTGTACCACACTTAACTTGTGCAATGCAGTAAATGTTCCGCCAGCCCAAACTCCAAACACATTATCCATTCTGAAACTCCTATTGCTACTACTACCATTGAGGATCCTAGGCATGCCCGGGTGCCAGCATTGCAAAAATATGACAAGAATAAGTAGATGCGGACCTACAATGTAAAAGATGATGTACAATTCTTACAGCCTGAAGTTGAATCTCTACCCCGGCAGATTCCTTCAGGAGTAACTCTAGCCCCTCATGACTTAGAAGGGGTCCATACCTGCACGACGACAATATCCCAAAACTTGATGTTTCAATTAAAAAGTTCTATTTGTAGATTGATCCAGAATAAACCTATCCTTCACTCGGTCAAGATCCCACACGTCTTGAAGCAGATGATTTGCCAAGAATGCATGAAACCTTTTGACTCATACTGGAAGCACTTGACCGCAAACAAAAAAATCGCAGAAATATTTCCCGGCCCTTTAACAAGTCATCGGGAAGAGCCACAGGGCAGACACTTACAATAATCTTCCAACAAGGGGTTCACTATGAACAACAAGCACCCCGATAATTGCAACAGCCTCCATCCTAACGACGGCGCTCGTGGATGCCAGCGCCAAATGAAGCATCCACTTCAGAAATGGGTCGAGCTCTTCATTTATAGACTTTGTGCCTCGAACTCCACCAAGACCATGCTCAAGTTCTTGGAGTGCTGTTGACTGGTTGTGTGAGCAAGGGTCTCCAGCAACTTTAGCTGACGGATCCTTTGTAGCAGCTACGCCTTCTACAAAACCTTGTTCTTCCCTATCTTCTTGTCCAGTTTGAAGCTCCTGTAGTTGCTTCCGGTCCTTCTCGAGTGGAAAATCAGTTCCTGCATGTCTCTTCAGTTTGTCTAAAGCATTTCCCTTGCCTGACCCTGACACTTCGGGTTCTTTAGTCTGAAGAATAATCCTGGGTGAAAAAAACACTGGCAACTGTTTGGATTCACCATTTGCCAGCGTTTTTGAAACCACTCTAAACCCACACTTCGCTTCCTCGCCACTGTCCTTTCCTTCCAAGTGAGAATCAGGTAGTAGTGGACTTCCAGCATCATGACTTCGCTTCCTCCTACATGGTCGTAAACGAAGTTACAGGACAAAGTCAAAAAACTCACATGACTAGAAGAAACATTCATCAACTGCAAATCGTGAACGTATGTAACGTGAATGTATGAGGACTCCACTCCCTTAAAATATCGCAAGCAATAGGTTCGCCCTCATTTTGGTCCATTAACCGGATCTAATTTCCCTCAACAATTTTCTCAAAGGCTACATTGGATACAAATCGAAACAAGTGGCCGTTAATCTAAACAACACGACATGAAATACTACGTCAGGCTATCTTGAATTTAGTCATTACAGAAAGCTTTGAAAATAACCTCCACATAAGTCTTTTCCTGCAAGTGACATCGTGTTGAAGAATACAATGAAGTACCCTTAGAGCACTACCGAGAAGCTTTGCCTGCAAAGCACCGCAGCCAAAAAAGCTAACTCAAACATCTCTTTCTTATGTGTTAAAAGGTCCAAAATGGAAAGTTAATTGAAGTAAAAAGTAAGCACAAAGTTCTCCTCACATTGTCCAAATTGCAAAATTCTAGGAGTGGGCCAAGAATAATCTCAGGATGTGCTGCACCGCTGGTGACCTGAATCAAACGAAATAGGCGCATTAGTTACTAGAAGAACAGATTACTCGAAGATGATGGCCACTAGTGGCCATTATAGACACAAATCTTCAACTTCAAACTTTGATTGGTAAATTAGACTTAGCGCTTAAAGAGTCTGTCCTCCAATAACATATATGAGAGTGAGCTTCAGTATAAGTATAATTCAACTTTCACAGGTACTCATAGCACTCTTCGATAAGGAGTGCAAGGTAATGGTCAAACCCACCTTGGCAACCGCGCTGTAAAACTTCTCGGAGAGAGTCAAACTTTCGGACTTTCTTCTATCACTACTTTTGCAATCCACTGCTTTGTTATCATCTCCATTAGATAGCAATGTGTACAGATCATGAGCACAAGCTGCATATATCTTTCCAACAAGATCCTTCCCATCGTTCTTAGCACCTTTGAAACCCCAGATTTGCTGCAAAGAGTAAGAAAGCTCGCTCAAGGCCGCTTCTGGTTCTCTCGATTGTCCTGGGGCTTCAATTGCCTGCACAAACATTGATTGATGATATATGCCGATTTGAAGAGCTTTCGTTTGGCAAAGACTTACAGATAACACTAAATATATGAGGGGAAAACATTAGATAATTCGTTCGATATACATCGAATATTATACCTTAGGCTCTTTACAATCATTAGTCTCACTCTTGCTGGAGGATACACAACCTGCGAAAGGGAATCAAGAATTTCTCAGATAACTTGGATAGGGCAAAATTGAGTATTTAGAAGCACAACACCCAATGAAAAAGTAGCACATAAGAAAAGTGAAAAAAAAAAACTTTTACTTCACTCACCATTCTCTGCTGTCCTCCTCTTCAGGGTTGCAACGGCAGGTGATAAATCTCCAACAGGATGCCTATTACTCAACCCCGCCACATTCTTTTCATGCCCTCCGTGAGATGCCTTTCGCTGAGCGATATTGACGGTCCTCTCTGGCACCCAAGGAGACGTCCAAGGGTCAAGTTGTTGCTCCGAAGGTCGAATATTCTTCTCAACGCTTCCATGGGGTCGAGATGTAATAGTGGCATGTCTTTCAACATTGAGGTCAAGTGGACTTGATCCTTCATCTCGAGACCGCTTCGGTCCATCCGTACCTGTTAGTCTGAGAACAGGTTATGATCAGTGAGATGGTAGAAGAAAGTGTCCGATTTTCTTAAAGTTCACATGAAATCGTGAAGATGAATAACTCCAAGTATGAGTTGCAGAATCCAGGAGAAGCAAAAAAACTTCGAGATGAATGTATCTGATGGTAAATATCAGATTTACAATAAGAGACGATTATGTAGAAACTTGTGTTCTATCACAGGTCGTGTCTGAGACTCAGATTGTTATAGAATCAAAACCTCCTTACAACACATAGAAACGACAAATAGTGGACACAAGTCAACTCCACATATACTAAATGAGGATTTCCTAACTCCGAGCTTACAAGTTGGACCAAGGATTACCTCGATTGCTTCAAATGCTCAAGCTCTCGTCTTAAAACAGTAGCTTCTCCTAGGGCGTCTTTAAGTTTTTTTTCCTCCTCAAGGCGCAGCCTCTGAAGTTCGCTCATCTCGTGCTCCTGCCGAGTCAATAATTTAACAGGTAAGAATCTGGTCATGATTGGGTCAGGTTTAACAGATACTTTAAGGATCTGCCCTTAGTTTTGCTTTGTATGCCGTTACGCCCTAGGACACCCAGTTACAAAGCCGGGAAACCATAATCATGGCCATTAAAACATGAGATCACCTTTTACTGTGTTCCCTTTCTTGACATGCGGGCTTATTCAAAGGTCCAAACTTAAATGCATCTGATCAATATACACAGCCTGTATGATAATAATAACTTATGGCTGCGATCATTTCTCTTCACATGGTTAAGTTCCTTCAAGAGCCCTATTCTGAAGGAGCTGTTATCGATGCACTCGACTGAATAAGCTCACGGCCTAAGGCTGATGCTCAAAAGCCATATGACACATGTGAAAAAATCGAAAATAACTGAGATAAAGTGGATACAAACCTGAACAGGGTTCCAGCGGCAACAATAGCCATCACCCGATAAAGAGCAAGAAAAGTCGAAAGGAAAAACTTTTTGTTTTCTGTACATTAAAACTGCAAAAGAACAAAGTTTCATGGAGTCCACCAAATTTAAAGCAAAGGGTTTAGACTACAGGGGTACCTTAAACAAAAGTTGAGAAGATAGACGCTCCAGCTCCCGCTACACAACACAAAAGGCAGACCAGGGTTCCGCTGGAAAAGTGAGCAAATTCATATACACACAATTACTCCGTCACCTTCTAACTCGAGTCAAACACTGGGTGAGTTAATTTACAAAACTTTCACAAACAAATCATGTAGTGACTGCTCCAAAGTACTCAGCAACAGACTGATTGCAGAAGACAAACAACCCAAGAAGAAGGCATTAAGAACTCATCATTTTGCAAGACAAAAGACGTGTGAGTGCTAAACCTGTTGGGATATAGCTGGCTGAAGAGCAGTATGTGAGGTGCCCTTCCTCCTCAGTTCGTCAACTTGTTGTTCTGCCTGAGATAAGAGTGAGGAGTTACGCAGGTAAAGAATTGAAGATCTTCGGCGTCTGTTGAATTCGGGAATCCGATCAAGAAGATAAGAAACCTTCCAATTCACACATGACTCTGACAGCAGTGTAATCGTACAAAGACCTGGAAAACTTACCTCTCTGAGACGAGTGCGAAGTAAGGATATAGCTCCATCCTTCTCAACCAACATGTCCATGAGTGCTTGGCTTTCATTCTCTACCATAGCTAACTGAAGATTATCAGTATGAATTTCAACCAATCCCTTGGATTGCTGACTGGTATGGACAGCTTTGACATCTGAAGATGCCCAAGGGTTACGGTAATTTAATGGTTGAAGCATGAGTGGGCGACCCGCACTTTCGTCTACCCTGTGTTCAGGGCCAATTGCCGGAAAATCCCCCATTCGTCCTGAAACCCCCCCACGAAATACAGACGATCCATACGGTAACTTTGAGTCTGCTGAGCTCGGGCCAAACTTGGAGAAGGGCCCATTACTGTAAGTGGAAACTGACGTTGCAGGGATACTAGAGGAAGCAGAAGGAACCACAGACTGAGTTCCATGCTTGACAGCACTCTCCTGCTCAGCCTTTTGAAGAAATACTTCGATCGTAGCAATAAAATTATCAGAATTCCATATTTCATCATCATCGTCCTCCCCTGACATCTCTACCTGAATTGATCTGCCTGCCTGTCAGTTCATTGCCAGCTTCCCAGACCATAAACGTCAATCATTTCCTGAAAGATCCCACACTGCCGAATCAACCAAGGTCCAAACCTCTAAAAGTAATTCAAGTCCAGCTTCCATGCGTCATATCTTCAGAACTAACGAAAACTATCACTGCCACCTTGCCCCAATGCCCACCTCGCCTGTGCATGATTTCTCGAACTTGATCGGAGCGATTAAGAGATAGGAGAACACATATATTATCCTCCATAGCCAACGTGGACTTGTTCTTTCTTCCTTGAGTCACGAAATTTGAACCCTACGCTGTTGCCCTGTGCTCGTTCCCCACAATTATGTTCCTCTTTACTCCGTTCATATTCGAGCCTGCAAAGCACGGCGTCCTCGAAACCAACCGGGTGACAATTAACATTTTGCTTCAGTTTCGACCTCTACCGCCAATGTTTTCGTATGTCCGCCACAGGGAAAACTCTGCCAATTTGGCGTCATGCCCGAGAGTCGAAAAAACCCTAAACCCCTGCACCCGCTTCAGCACTCAACTCTTGTTTCTAAGGTCGAATGCCCTCATCTCCGTCGTCAATCTTCCCACATTCGTCGTCACTGCGAGGCAAGTTTTGGATGATGGCACGAAGTTCTTGAAGAAGAGAGTTCAAACATTGTCTACTCTCACGACCTCCAATCATTAGACTGATTTTTGTCTCCCGGCATTTTTGTCTCCCGGCATGACGCAAACGGGTTAACTCGCACATTGAACTATGTCTTGACAGCGGTTCTATGCTTTCCACGACAATAATATGCTGGAAAACTAAGATAGACGTAATATCTTCCTAGTTTCTAAATGAGCACTCAATATTGAGAAGAGATTCTAGAGATTTTTTGTATGAAGATTTAACGTTTTAGTATATTATAGCTTCTACTTTTCTTAAATTTTTTCTCCAATACTCCTTATACAACACTTATTGCATCCTATGGAAGTAATATATATTCGAATTATATATATTTGAATATATTCAGACAGCTACCTTGAAAAAAATTTATAATCTACTAAATTTTTAATGTGATTCCATAAAAAGAAATAACTATCAAATAATTGTAATGGGATTCAATTCGTCAGTTGACAAATTTAATCAAAGATAAATGCTAATACTTATAAGCTATATAATATATTCTTGATCAAATAAAACAAAAATTATTCAAAATTTTAATGTGAATGTTCGATTAAATATATCATTTTTTGGGTCAAAATATGAGGGTTTAAAAATGGAAGAAGAAACATAATTTTTTTTTCGCAATAAACTGATATTACTTTATGTTGATTGTTGTTGGAACTATTCTACATTTTCTTAAGTATGTTCATGGCAAGCATTATAATGGATTCAACAGGATTTCTTTTTCACCAATTGCCTGCTAAACAGACATTATTGATGTATATAGTATATTGCTACTTCAGTTGGATTATTTGATTAAAAATGATCTGCTACAATATTACCAGTTGTAAACATCAAGTGAGTGAGTATGTAGATCGTGGTCTTGAATCTATCAAACTTCTGATTCTCACATATGACTGAAAAGTTGGTTATCGCATATATTTATATATATGTATCATTTGGAATAATTCTCATTATCTTCATTGGTGTTACATCCAACTTGTATTTAATGTCATTATATATACATTTTGGTCTCCATTGCTTTTGGACTCAAAAGTTGAAACGCATTGAAGAATGTAAAATAGTCACAAAACAACATTCAAAGTTTCAATTGCAGTCATAATTATTCCACTTTAAAAAATTCATAGGATAGTTTCCTGATCTTATAATTTTGAGTTGTAGATTAAATCCAATAATCAGCTAATATCAAACTACCCTTGAGGTTTAGATTTCCGGCCAGATATTAATTAAAAAAATAACTTTTTTCTATAAATTAATCATAATGTAGAAAAATAGTAAATAGATTCTTATTTTATTTTTTGATAGTGGTATTAAATTTCTCATATTTAATATTAGTACCAGAAGTGTAAAGGAATACTTAAAAATTAGAGAACACCAAGATGTGCTAAGTCTAAAACCAAGATAACTGTACATTTATCAAAGTGCTTAAATTAATATTGTGCAAAAAGCCCCTAGATGCATAAACCGTGGACCATCCCCATTTTAAGTAAGAAGCTAGAAGCTGACTGTGCTGTTTATTAAGATGTTTACATTCAAGATCAAAATTTCAAGCTTAACATAAGTTAAAGTATATTCTGAATTGGAAAAAATAATGCAGTACTAAAAAAATCAGCTTCACAAGCATGTGCATTGACCCTGGTTTATTTCTAATGAATCTACTCTTATGTCTGATATCGGGTAAGTTCAGCAAACAGATACATTTTGTGATCATATAATTTTTTAGTGTTAACCTTTGATGTATGTGTTTTGTACAATTTACTCTATTGTAAACTTCCCTCCTTTCGTATCTCTTATCTAGACGTTGGATCTGAAAAATGAATATTTCATTGAGTTATCATGGTAAATAAAATCTCCGAACAAAAATAAAACGACATGATTAACAAGTACATAGATGCCAAGCGAAGTAGGATGGATATACATCTATATACATCGAAGACGAACGAGACTACACGAAGAGGAAAGATATAAAAAACAAGAGCAAAACAAATGTACAAACATATTAAAAGTCAGTAACGTTCAGCATCAATACTTCAGTGTATAACAGCCAGGCTCTCACTTTTCGTACACTGTTCCGTAAAGGAAGGACATTAATTATATTCACACATTTGATGGCATCAATAAATTCACCGTAGACTGAGTACGTATATGTTTATGAATAGAGAAAGCATATAAAATAAGGGGCTGAGCTTTGCATCAATATTTAATAAAACTATACTTGAGAGCAGTTGGAAAGAACAAGGGTCCACCAGATCCTGAACAATATACGTACTCCTCAGCCAATAACTTCAAAGGCAATCTTCTAGTTTTTGTTGGTCTTCATGGAGTTGTCATATCTCCTTCGGATCATATGTTATCAATCCATTTATTTTTCACAAATTGTGGTTCATGAGCTTCTTCATAAGATTCAGCTCACACTTCTTCTAGTTAAGTGTCTCTTATCACGATGTTATATCTGCAAGGAAAAATCAATCGAAGTCACATCCTTCCATGTACCAATCACTCTCTTCAATCATGAGGGGTTTTCATGAATTAAATAAAAACGTCAAAAATATAGGAATTTGTTAAATGCCGTAAAGAAAATACTCTCCTCTTCTTAACTATCTGACGGCCAAATTCTGTACATATATACCAATGGTACGGAAAGACCGATAGTGTTGATTTGTATCTCATCAATCTAAAAAACAGTATCTAGTCAAAGTTGTCAATAACACAAACTTAAAAATTTATGATAAAAATTTTGAGTGTTTCTCTAAAAAATTGGATTTTCATGTCACAAATTCTTAAAACATTTTTTAGTTGTAGCTCTTGTGAATAAAAAATTTAAAAATTTTCCATCAAAATTTGTCTGTATGCTTCAAAAATATTACTAATTTTCATCTCATAAAACAAAAGATCCAATCATAACTGTAAAAGAAATATATTTAAAAATTTTCCGAAAAATATTTGTGTGTTGTTGTAGACGTAGTTGTAGGAAAAAAACTATTTTTGCAAAGTATCCATGCGGGTATAATTTGTATGTCAATAATCAACATAAAATATGCATTTTTAGTTATCAATCTATTTATTTAAAATCGAAATTTTACATACAATAAAAATTAGGAATCTAAATTTTTAGAGTAATATTATTTTTTATTTAAAAAATAGAAATAAAATTAATAAAATTTAATTATTCAATCATAAATAAAGAATTAAATTAATTTAAATTTTTAAATTTTAACTTAGATTTAAAGAATTTTTTTCTTTTTTTGTTCTTTTATATAAGTAGGGATTAAAATGTAAAAAATGAGCCATACGCAATAACTCTATAAAATGAGTTCTATTTCATGAAAAAATTAATATTATAAAAAATTATTTTTAAAAATACAATAATTATTTACATGTCATTGCTTTGATTTATTCAACTTTAGAAAATTTACTTTCGAATTTTGTGTGTTTAAAATTTCCTACATATATTTGAAAAAAATAATTAAAACTATTTCTAAATTATAATTTTATTTTATTATTTTATTTTATCTTAATTTTATTTTATAAAGTTTAATGTTTTAAATAGAGTTTAAATGCTGTTCACATTAACACTAATCAATAATATATATCATTTAACACATCATAGTACTGTCAATAAACTTCAAAATGATGCAATGCTAATATTAAACATATCAGCACTGTATTGATCAATATTGTGTGAGTTTTTGGATCTGCATACACAATTTTCAATTTCACATGAAATGAACGCTAAAAGGTCTTTAACGTATTTTTGTTACGCATTAAAGACTTTTCATGGAAATTATTGACACTTTTACGAAATTGTTAACGAGATTGTATCTAAAAATTAAATTTCATTTATTCATAATTTTGGAAATTATTGGTTTGATTAAAAACTAAACGTCATATTTTAAATTTACATAAAATCAAATTTTAATTCTTGCATTGATTTTTATATAATAAAGAATATTTTAATAATTCTTAAATCCTTTGATCATAGATGTTAGGATAACACTTCTGATTTTAAAGATTTCTTTTATCAAAATAATGATTTCATACAAGTGAACATATTAATAAAAATGTTAGTATAGTGATTTTAACGTAAATATAATTTAGTATAATAACATGCTAAAAATGGCCAAAATTTAAAAAAATAAAAAAAATGTTTGTGATGAATTTTCTAACGTAATTTGCATTTAAGATTTTGTTTTTTAATTAAAAATGAAAAAATAAAACGAATGAAAAAAATTCCAATAGACAAGAGTGTAGAATAAGAAAGTATGTTTTACAAATGATAAAAATCTGAACTATAGGTATATTTTAAATTTTCACAAAATAGCATGATAATAATCTGGTAAAATCTAATTTATATTTATATAAGAGATTGTTAAATTCATTCCGAGCTGTTCAATTCATCCCGTCACCCCAATTTTCATGGCAACAAGGCTGTTCAATTTAAAAGTTGATGCGTTGCAAGGTATCATTTTTCATACGTCCAATGCAGATTCGGCTATCTCAGAACTAGCACTACTAGACTTGGTGAGCATCTTGCGGGTTTTCCTTTAGTGCGTGCAGTTGTTATCTGGAATCGCCATGGGAACAAAGCATTAACATACACAAACGATTTTGTTGGCACCATAAGCAGATAGTACTTTGCTAGCAAGGATGTCCATATAAGAATCAGAAGCTAAAAGCGCCAGAAGAATTTTTGAAAGACCTTTTTAAACGAAGTAGGCGATGAATTTAAAGTATTTAATCTTTCTAGTGGGAAGCAGAAGAGAAAGAGCTTGAGATATGACCATTTGGTTGAGCTCAATAAAAGCAGCAGCTAAAAATTCAGATGTTTTCTCCATATGCATATGAAGTATCACTGCTGAAAGCCATTTGTGCTCAAGGGCGAACATTGAGAAAGAGAGTCCAACATCAATCATCGACGTGACAAGAAGAATAATTAAAATCTGACATGTCTTGTTGCTATGATAACTGCTGTGACGGGGTTAATTAAATAACTTGAGGGATGAACTTAACAATCCCCTTAATTAACCATAAGTTTTATTCAAAAATTTACCCTCCATTTCCAAAAAACACTCAGGAAGAATAAATTCAACAAGATTTACAAATATAATTTTATGGCCATAACATTTTTTCATTTTTTTAATATAACATCCAGTTCATAATCATTAAATAGACATATATGCACATGTGATATTTGATTTATACGTATGACTTATTAAGTGATTTTATACAGTTTATTTTGACCGGTTGTATCAGTTTCGGAAGTGAAGATTGAGTATCAAATTAGACATCAAATTTGTCAAATGCTATATGCTAATTGGTTTCTGGTGATGCATAAGAACATTAAACACAATAAACATTTGATACTGGAAAATCAGTTTCATAACTTACATTGTGGATATGTAGCATTGTTCTCACTTGTAACATGTGAACAATTTGTACACAAGGATATCACCATACTTGCAGCTTTATACACGTTAAGTTGTAATCACTACATTAAATGATTGTGAAATAGCGTACAAGAGGTATTTTGAAAATCATGAGCATTTTTCCTTCATCTTGTAGGTGAATATTGAAAACACTGAAAACAGTATTTAACATGGATGCAAAAAAAAGTGAGTAATTTTCTTCAAATTTTGTATGATTTATATCTCTTTCAATTATTGTCCAACATGAAAGCCCACAAAATATGTCACCTATCTATATTTTCAACTTATACTTGACACTAAATTTGTTGGATGAGTATCTCCATTTCCCATGAAATATTAAAGACTAAACACTACTTTGAAAAACGATAAGTTTTTTTTTTCCCTATTGATCATATTTGACAAATTTTTATTTTTCAACTCTGAAGTTTCATCTTGTACGATCACAATTCAGTGTTTGGTTACTCTAACATATTCCTACTCATATGAAGCATTAAAGGTATGTATCACATCGATTGATGAAATCGTTCAAGTTAGGATACTTAGACAGTTTACATCTTTACTTCTGTGATATTATACGAAGGTATGGGTGCTTAGGCAAGATATACACACCATTGAAGGCAAGAACGATATCTTCAAATAAAGTGATTTGATTGTGGAACCATTTTCTAACAGTAATTTTGCTCTATTAAAATCACTAGCTAGTGTTATACATTGAAAAAAAAGTATACTGTCAGAAAATGAGTCATCAAACATTTGCTTCTTGATTAGTTTGATCTAAATAGAAAACATGTTCATGTGATGTATGATATATTTTCATTGTCATACCAGTGAGGTCTACAACACAGTTATAAAACATTGTCTCAAAACATGCCAACCCAACAACCTCTTATCAAAGGCTTAATCTGATCCTTACTCCAAATCAGCCATACAAAAAAGACGACCAAAAATTCGTGTGAAATCTCAACCCAGATGACGGCGATCGCACTTTCTTCCTTGCTGTTACAAGAAATATAATGGTAAAACAACCTATAAAAATGTATATAAAATACCATCTGACACCAGCACAGCAAAAACAAACCTGAACTTAACTCCGTTCGTTCTACTTCTTAGAACTTAAGAGGAACTCCATGCCGTGCAGTATTCAACCATGTCAGCAATGAAAGGTACGACCACTGAACGTCTGCATATAAATGAAAAAAAATCACTGTCTACAAAAGTGTTTTTACGTCTATGCTGTCAAAAGCTCAAGTGCTAAATAACGAGCAACATAAAGCTGCTATACAAACTCACACCATAGCCAAGCAACCCACCGACCTGATTGAGAACCCAACTACTCACTGGAAGCTTCTAGGCTGAATTCGAGCAAGAGAGAAGGAGAATATATTTTTTTGTCCCCCACCATCTATGAACTTCCTGTTAAATAATGAATCCAGTGTCATCATCACACTAAACTCTAAACTACGGCACACCACGAAACTGTGTGGATATCTCTGTATTAAAATGGGTCAAGACGTCATCACCACACCACGCTACGGCTCACCACAGTAGGCCTTGCATGAAAGGCGTTGTTAATCAACCTGGCCATGGGTCCACGTCGTCATCAGCTTATCACATCATCTCGATATTTGCAGGACGGTCTGAGTCGCTCGATCATCTTCGCATGGATCGACAAAGCCAACCGCGTTCGATTGCTCGCAGACGAGATGACGCGGTTCATCTCATAGCGCGCTCTTATTGATCGACCTCTCAACGGGGTTGAAGGTTGGCGGCAGCTAAAGCGCTGGTCTCTGCATTGGGCAAGGGCAAGGGCAAGGGCAAGCACTGCTGAACCCGAGAGAACTCACTGCTAGTCTCGACAAACTAACGTTCAAACCGCGTTCATGTGCTTCACGGGGCGGCCAGTTGGATTAGCATCCATGAATGCAGTGGATCATGAATCTGTGCTGTGCCACAGTTATCGAGTCCTTGGGTTGGACGTCAGCCCGTCTTCTCGGACCACGACATGCGGATAGGCGGAACGGACGATGGTTAACGTCCAGTGGATTCTTCGAGGACCCGCTGGGCCTACCACCAGGAATCCAAACGTGGTCAAATTCGCGAATGTCATTAATCAACTAGTGTCTCAGTTTGATGCCTTCATTCGAGATCAAGGTCAGCTTGTTGCAGTGATTGGTACTCAGATATGATATGGCTAGTCCTCGTCGGGAATGGCAGCTGGCAACAGAAGATGGGGGACCTCAAATCTTTGTCCATTTTTTGTCAGAGTTCAACGATGAACGCAGTTTCAGGGAAACGGCAATGTAATCAGCATCCCCTCAGACTGCAAGGAGCTGGTTATACAGAGCTCCTTACGAATTGTTGGCCTGTTGTATGCAAGGCCTGCGGTGCCTAGGCAGGCAGGCAGTTGCGAGGGCCGAATACAGAATATAGTGATCGAATCCATTAAATGGGGACCTCCTCGGCTCTGACAGTCGCACTGATGACATGAGACACATGGAGCGAGACAAACGAGCGCATGGTTCTGAGTGAGTCACGTCATTTCCGACGATACTCCATGAGTCCATCATCATCATGGGGCCCGGGCGATGGCAAGAGCTACTTCCTATAAATCCTCATCGAGACTGGCCCCCATGTCCATCGTCCGATGCAACCTCGTGCTGTAGCGGCGGCTCCCACTGTGCCCCTGCACTCTCTCTCTGAATCCCTGGCCGCTGTACTCTGTAGAAGTCTCCGGACTGTTTAGCTGCATCCATTGGCCCTGCTGAAAGCATTAATTGTCAGCTATTGTCTTTGCTTGACAGTAACTCCGGCTAAATTCAGATATTAGTGACGGCGATAGAAAAGAATGCAGCATCAATTATTGGTGGTTTAACAGTTCAGCGTGCTATGCGGTAGGTCTTTGGCTACGGAGAGAGTAAATTAAAATTCGGCCACAGTTAAAAGAATTTTGGTTGCCTTGCAGAGGTGGGGGCATTCGCTGGGTGGTGGTATATAGGAGCCTTGCAGAACAGCTCTCTGTTTAGTCTGTGCAGCAGTCAACGAATAAGGTGGTGCACTTCGTCGACGCTCATCTCTCGTTTGTGCTGAACGATGTCCAATCTGCAGCGAGAATAGGAAAGTATCATTGCCACTGTGCATCAGACGCTGAGTTCAGCTGCCACATTTGAACACAGCCGGCCGACGGGAAAGATGTCGACGACATGGATGTGCGTGTTGCTGGCGGCGATTTTGCTCCAAAGTTGCTCGGCTCAGGCCAGCACCTCGAACGCTGCCTGTACCTCTAAGAAAGACAAGTGTGCCTGCAATTCGTGCCATCCCGGTGAGTTTCCTCAGCCCAACGACCCTTCTTCGTTTGTGACCAGGTTTTTTGTGAGCACCGATCATCGGATTCTCGTGAACTCTCTCGAAAGGGCTTGTAGATTCTGGTTATGGCGACATTTCCGAATGCGTTCCAGTCTTGTGCGTTTTTAGCATCACAGCTCGAGCTTGCAGCTCGCTGCGCTCGATAGGCTCTTCTCTGGGACTTCGTGCGGCTAGCCAGATGCACGAGGATGACTAGAGGAAACTTGCAGGCATGTGCTTCGCCGTCTGCAGCTCCGGCCCATTCGTCGGACATCGGGAGGGACATGTCTTGGACCATGGAGCCGGAAAGTTGAGCTGACAGTACTGTCAGTGTCGCCTACGAGCTCGTTCTGAAACGAAGTCTTCTTGCGTCTGTGTAATTGTGGAGCGAAGGACCGCCATGGATGCATCTGGGTCAATCGCAGAGGGAACCTCACAGCCTCCGAGTCGAGCTCGGGTTTCCCGATGGATGTGTGCCCGCTTGAAAGGTTTGTTGAGTACACACTGAAATTGTGAATGTGCAGGGCCTGGAATCGCTTTCGGAGAAGAGGCTAGCAATATCAGATCACCAGCGGAAGTGGTGGGATTCTTAGAGGAGCAGAAGATCAAGTCGGTGAGATTGTACCACACCTTCAAGGATACAATTAAAGCTTTCAAGGACTCGGACATAGAGCTCACCATCAGCATCTCCAATGCGGACATCAAGGGCTCGGGTATGGCCTGGAACTACGACGCAGCCGAGAAGTGGGTCAAGGACAATGTGCTGCCGTACTCGAAGGATGTACATATCAAGGCCATCGCAGTCGGGAATGAGGTGACATCGGTAAATGATTGGGACCTCGTGTCGCAAACGGAGCCAGCCATGCGCAACATTCACGAAGCTCTGAAACGCGCCAACCTCAAAGACATCAAGGTCTCGACGCCGTTTGGCATGGACATTCTCGAGGTGACTTGGCCGCCATCGGCTGGAGCATTTCGCGTTGAGTACGCCTGGAACATCGTCAAGCCAGTCCTTGCCTTCCTGAACGAGACCAATTCGCCTTTCATGATCAACATCTATCCCTATGTCTCGTACAAGAACGACCCTAAGGACGTGAATCTGGATGCGGCTCTGCTGAACAGATGGTGCCCCATCTCCGTCGACTTCAAAACTGGTCACGTTTACAAAAACCTGCTGTTCCAGCTCTTGGATGCGACTGTTGCTGCGATGGGCAAAATGGGATTTCCCGATGTCAGCTTACTGGTGTCCGAGACCGGCTGGCCAAGCGCAGGACATGCCATGGCCACTCCGGAGCACGCAGCCATGTACAACCAGAACCTTGTGAACCTGGTGGTCAAAGGAGTGGGCACGCCTTTGCGCCCGTCCTCGCCGATCAACGCCTTTATCTACTCGCTTTTCAACGAGAACATGAGGAGAGGAGAAGATGAATTGCGAAACTATGGCCTCTTCAATGCTAACTTTAGCCCCGTCTACGACATCAACTGGGAAGGTGAGGATGTTAACTGCGTGGCCAACAAAGTGGATATTGACTCGCAGCTTTCATCCTCCAGCTGATCTCTTTCGTCAGGCTGTCCTCGACCTCGTCTATGTGCGAGAAAGTTCAATAATCATATCTTTGCTTCTATATGCCCCATATACAATCCCATGGCCGAAGCACAGCACAGGATATAATCTCGGTACCTTGTTAGGGAAGAGAGTCGTGAGATGAGACGTAGTGGGTAGTATCTTTGATATGTAGATGCACAGACACTTGTGAAGTAAGTTTCACTCGTTGTATTTCCAAATATGCCACTTTTATGTACAGTCTGAACTTTTTAACATCTACTCGTAGTACATATTATCATAACCTTTCAATCTGTCCACTTCCTCTTTGCCAACGTCGGTGTATAATAAGTAAACTTTTCTTTGAACGCTATAGGTAGTAAGTAAAAAAATCGTTTTTTTCTTTATTTCATTGCTACATTTCCTACAATCCAGGCGGAATGAAATTCAATGTAACTGCTGTAAGGTACACTATGAAACTTGCGGACACTTCTAATTCTAATGCAACATCTGACTTGATTTGATACTAATCTACTTCTTAAATATGTTGTTCAAAAACTTGCTGGGGGCTGATGCGATTTGCTCTGCCATATCAAACATTTCCAGAAGGTCCGAATTGGGATCCTGCATTGACCCGATACAATCGTTACATTAGACAATAATACGACGACGAGGGACTTAACACTTCAAGCCAACGACTGTATATTTCAATCAACTCTGGTTTCTTACTAGATTGAGGTTATGTACTATGTAAGAAGGGAAACGATTCTATTCAAAATACACCACAAACGAAAACCTCGTACCTTCAATCCGCCTCCCTTCACGGGAATGCCTCTGATAGGTGCCAGTCGATTCCGCAAGGCAGACATACTATTGATAAGTATTTTCTTCTCAGACAGACGTAATTGTGCAGCCAGTTTCTCTCTGATTGACGCTTTCTGTAACAATTTGAAATCAAGAACCAACATAGTTTCATCCACTACTCAGTACTATTCTTTTCAAGGCCGGTACATTTCATCACCTTTGAAGGTTACATATCTTACTTAGGCCTGCAGTCTAACTTAGAATCGTTATTCACAAGTACTAATCCATCACGAGGATTTTCAACATCAGTCGAAACGCTGGTAAAATAAAAGGAATTGTTTACCTTGTCGTTTGCAATTCGACTCTCCTCATCGGAGCTCCCCGTGTATTCTTGCAGTGCAACACGGCACTCGCCCATGAGCAGCATCAGTATCTCATACTCATTTGCCTGAAGGAGGAAAGCTTACTTCTCAGTCTCAGACTCCCGAAATGAGTTTTTCCTCTTTTTTCTTGGATCATGTACTTAGTAAGTACCAAAGCCATGAAAACGAAGCCACAAACTAGACAATTAACTGATGAAACAGGAAAAGAAAGCTCCGTTAGCATTACATATTTTAAAAAAAATCTTTCAGCTTTGATAGCTTCACTGAGGTGAAGCTATTTAAAACCTCAACGCATTTTAAATTTCATACCTGGTCAATCATGACGTCTTGATCAAACACAATCTTAGCAAAAAGGCCCACGTCGGACACCCTACTCAGCCTCATGTAAGTCAAGAGCTGAAATCACAGGAGTCATCACCTCTCGAAGTTTCAGCTGGAATAATGGACTGCAACCTTGCTAATAAATTGAAGCGAAACAAAGAGAACAAAAACGAAAACTTGATCACTCTCGAGAAACTATTTAGATTTGTTTCGCATGGCATGGGAACTCACAGCAGACTCTAGACCTTCTCAATACCTGAGTTGGAAATCGGTCGGGAAATAGAGGGAAAGTTTGAGGGCTATCAAATCCAGCCTGCTGTAGAATTTGCTGCTTTAGAACCTTCAATCTATCTGCTTCCAGAAGTTCAACCTGCATAAAGCAGATGGCAGCATTGTATTACGCTCCATTGTATTACGCTCCAACTTCATATCGGATAACAAAGCCTTAAAAAAGACTTCTTAAAACTGAACTACGATACATCTCAAAGTGCGGAGGAAGTTAGTGGAACTGAGCGTACCTCTATCGTAAGATAGTCGTTAGGATTGCTCGGATCCACGAATCCGTAACTGCACAGTCCGGTATTATTTTAGTCCACAGCATAGGCACCACCCGAGATCGTATTTTCATGATAAACAGCGTTTCAAAATTCATGTAGTACAAACCTAATTAGGAGATCAGAGTTTGGTCGATCAAGACCATATGTGACAAAAACCTGGTCTCCAACTCTGTAGTCACGGTCCACTTTCAGCACAACCTGCCATTAGTAAACAGACCAGATGACATGAGCGTTCTGGTCGCTAATTGGTGTAACCATAGGAACTTCTAACTTTAGTTACCAAATGCTTTTGTTCCTCTGATGCTCAAAGAAACACGTCATTGTGAGATCCATCGCAATGCTTCCAACGGGGTTTGAAGGTTCTCAATATAGTGATCATGAATTAGAACTCATTTCAAGCGCAAATGCTCCGGATATCATTGATTTTAAAAATGCAGAGAAGCGAAAGCTATACTGTTCCTTAGGACCTCATATCCTGGTTTTATAAAAATTGCAACTCCTTTGCATCTCCAGCTCTTGTCAAATCACGCCAGCAGCGTGTTTTGACTTTCTAGGTCTCTGCTCTGATTACATGCATTGTGAAAGTGAAAGCTTCATCTTTCAGTGAAAGTACCACATTCGTAGAACTCTGTGAAACGCAACACAACCTCTGTTCTGGATAATATTTCATCAAGTAAAATACTTGCGAGGTTCATGACGACAAAGATATTTAATTCTCGTCTGAACTTACAGCTTCATCTTCTGTGCTGAAGTCTAGAAAAGCTTCGCAGTCTCCTTTATGATTGAAGCAGTCTCCATATGGAACCTTTGACGAACATAGAACGAACATAGAAAGAATGTCAAGTGAAGATCATAAAAACTTCAAATTATTGCGTTACTGCAGTACAATTCTGGCATTACACTAGGCATGCTTCGGATGCGGCAACCTGATTTCTAGACAGTAAGTAAAGAGGGTGATAGATCCCTGGAGACACTCCACGCTATTCATTCTCTCGCACACGGCCTATTCTACAAACCTCGAAACGAACATGAGGAAGAAGTTCAACACACCAGAGCAAAAATGTCCGCTGACGGCAAATACGATGCACGCGACAAAATCACTGTGAAGGCGTTCTTAAATGCCGTCAAGGAAAACCCTTCAGCTGGGAATGTCTATGCACATGACAAGAGATACCATTAGAAACTGGAGAGATACTGCATAGACTTAAGTCGCGAGAACTGTCCCAACCTTCTAGTCGGTTAGAATGATTCAGCGAAGAGCTTTTATGTTGCGATTTACAGTGTTTCAACGAAAGGTAATTGCGAGAGACATGTGTACATACCCTCGGTTCTTTGTCAAAAAACGTCGAGCTCAGTTCCTCGTAAACTTCCTCTAAAGCTGCAATTCTCTCCTTGACCTCCGCTGCAAATGAAAAGCCAGACACCAGGAGAGGCAACAATTAACCATGAACCCTGAACCACAGTACGCAAACTAAGTACCGATCTTATGAATGTTCCAAGGGCAGTGGTGGCCCATACCGAGAACCGGAGAGCCCCTGAGTTGTTCATCACGTTCAGCCGAAGGCCATAGCAAAGGGCTATTTGTTGCTTCTGGGAACAGTTTAAGAAAAGGATACCATAGAGACGCCTGCCCTTGCGCTCTCTCGTACATAAGCCACAACGTGAGCCCAATCAGGTCTCCTCTTCCTGCGACAAGACGCAGGTAAGATGCTCGTTTTCTAGGAGCGTTTCAGCGTATTCAAAGCTCATCTATCAACGTGGAACGGAAATCTCTAACCTTTCGCAGGAGCTGAAACTACAGGGTGGTTATTGACGTCGTAGGCAGTGACGCAAAAATTCTCAGGAACAGTCAGAGCAATTTCACCAGCCTGCACTGCACACGATAGACCCTATCAATGATGGTTTTGAATGCATAAATTCACGTTCATACGCAGACAGGACAGTGCCTTGGCTCGGGCATTTCTAGGGGTTTTGATTATGTGCAGGAGATGAATCTGAGATTCGCGTCAAAGTTTTCATAAAAATGAGGGCGAAACGGAATTGTGATCTCGTTGTGTACCTTCAACGCGCGGGTGGCAACACATCCCAATCCCTCCTTCTCAAACATTTTGATAGATACAACCTAGAACACCATTCCACTTATTCTCCATTAGCGCGATGACCTTCTGCTGTAGTCAAGAAAATTCAAACTTCCGATTCAAACTCGAGACCCGTCTTTTATGGCTTGCAAGCTGCAGTTTTATGTTCCCGTTCAGCAAGAAATCATGATCAAAATCAGCCGGAGAGAACAACGAGACCGACAAATCGTTCAACCTGGTCTGGGAATTCTTGCTCTTTTAACCACCCGACGAACTCGTCGGCCGCGACCGCCCTGTCGACTCCTGCTGCCGTGCAAACAATACCTCCGCCTTTCAGAGAATTTCGATTCCATCCATTTCCTCTGCCCTTCATTCTTCGTTGTCTCGACCTGCTGCTAGCGATGCTGAGATCCCTGAAGCCCGAATGAAATTTTAAGCTCGAGATTCCACAGCTGCTCGAAAAGGCAGGAGAAGAGCAGTCCACATTACTCCTGCTGTACTTAGTCGCTAACTCGTTCTGATGATTCCAAGCTCCCACGGTACTGACTCCTGTTCCCGACGAGCAGAAAGTCGACGACATCACCACAGCTCTGTGAGGCAGCGAAAGACTGCTACAATCCATCTCTCGCACCTCCACCACCCAACATACAATTCTCGAAACCTGTTTGACAAGCTCTCCCTTCCAGATAGCTCCGACGTTCAATCCTCGCTCACTCAATTCGACATTCTTCAGAATCTCGCCCAGCTCAGCGATAGCGAGTGTCAATATCTGGGACCACTTCCTCCGCACAGTCGAAAGAGCTTCAGCTGTCAGTCGAACTGCGATTCTGTGCTGGATCCGGAGCGGACAATTGCTGCCAACAGAAGAACCTCGCGCACGCCTGACAAGAACCTCCAGCGGACGACAATTCGGACCACGAGACGCGAGGGGCACAATCTCCGCTTTGCCAACGCCCTTTGGATAAGGGGCCTGCCGGGCCCACCATTCCTCGTGACTGCACCAAATTATAACGCCGTGGGGCCTTGGGGGCCTGGACTGCGTTCGAATCGAGCGCAGTCAGGGGTAGCAAGGCGCGGTTTTTACAATATGGGTTTTTATTCGGTTTTAATCAGGTGTCATTGATATTATTCTATCACGTATCGGAAGCATCCACGTGTCTGATAATTAACGTATCAAAAAAACCCACGTGTCAATAAAAAACCTGGGTTTTATCACCAAAAATCGGGTTTTAAGATATTAAACCAAAAACCGGATTGATGCTAAAAACAAAATCGGGGTTTATGCACCCGGATGCCACCGAGTTGTGACCGTGGTCGCAATCGCATCCTTCAAAGACTGCGCCGGATTCTGCTTTCCGTCTGCTGTACAAGAACATCTGGACTGGGGAACGAGCATGTGACAACCTTCGAGGCTCTTGCTCTAGCAAAAGATTTCACAGACCCTCCCTGCCATCTAAAGCGTCATCCTATTCAACTTTTCACTTCGCTCATTTCTGATCGACCTTTTTTAGCAGCATGGCATGTTCGTCCTACGCTCTGTGTGTGTCTTATACCTTTCATACTATGGTGGGGATAATATTTTGTTCTAACTCTAGAGAGACTCTCTTGAGTTATTTGGCAAAGATATAAATGCAGAGGGGAGGTGATCTATTTATTATCCTTCATGTCTATCGCAACTACAATACCTCTGTATCTATGCAGACAGGCTCAGAATCTGCAACAGTGAGCTTGGGTTAGGCATCAGCGAAACATACGGATTGACAGCGGATTTCGGATTTGTCCACTGGCTTAAGAACGAGACGCATAGATCGGAAAGTTCTCATCTCTTCAGAGCAATGAACCAGAAAACAGAACTTACAGTATGGTTGTGTGTATTTTCAGTCAGTAGTATCTGGATTTCAGAGTCCATGATTATCATCACGATCAGCCTGTCAGTCTCATCCCTCTCCATGACGCCACTTGTTGTTGGATTGGTTTTTGTTATTGCAGTTGCCTTTTTGGAAATTGATACTAGCATGTAATGAACAACGTGGTTGATAATCTTAGACAATATTATAAATCAGAGGCGAAGAAGCCATTGCCCCCTCTGGCTGAAATTGGGAGGTCCCGTGGACGAAGTTGAGGTTGCAGCAAGCGAGCAATCGCATCTCCATCTAGAGAAGTACTGGTTACGTCTGTCTGATCCACGTCTTCATGTCTACGTCTCTCTGTTTTAGAAGAAGAAAAGCAGATGCTGCTGTCGGCAAAGCGTGGATCTTCTACCCATGCCACTTCTCACGATGTGTCCATGTGTATCTCTCCGGAGTTGCTTCAGCTATTGAAACGGTATGTGCTCTCCTTTCGATTGTGGACTTTAAGCATGAGCTCAATAGGCTTCCTGTATATCCAAATTCGGATCCAACATATATGACATCACAGTCACATTCATGTCCACAACGGCTCCATATCCACTGTCACCATCTTCTTGCACCAACTGAGAGGGCCATTTGACTAGATTCTGTGGCGACGTCCTTGCCATTCATTTATCTGAGCTGCAAAAATTCGCAACTTTGATGCAACATAGCTCGAGTGGATTGAATATCGAGGAGAAGAGGATACCCAGGTTGGAACACGTCAGGCTTAAGCAAGTGGCTTCGTTGCCGGCAGAGAACTAATCTCTGTGAAGGAAATTCGAGCTACAAGTATTCCTTCACTCACAACAACGCGCTGCGAAAGCTTGAGGCAGAAAGTCCGAATGGCAGGTCCAATTCCGAGGCATTGGCACGCTATCTGCCTACACGATGAGGGTATAATAGTTATCATCTCTAAATCGGATTTTCTAAATGGTGGAACCAAACTATATTAGCCGGAAACTTCTTGGACAGCCATCAGTCGTGGCTTTTCATAAGACCTTCGTCTTCCGAAACCATAGTACGAGTAACGGTTTCCATTGATCACGATGAGCTTCTTAATCATTTTTCACGATTGCGGAAGTATCCTCTACGAGCTTATCGAAGGGTGTCGCGAAAAGACGACGGAATCATTTCAAGAACATATTTGCTAACTCGTATGTGGAGTACGGTCATGAGTTTTTTTATGGACAGCGACGTCCTGGCGGAGGACCACACCGACGTCATGTTGAGTTGATATGCCCACAAAACTAACAGCAGGCAAGCAGCCAAGGAATTCGTTGAGGAGCAAAACATTATGCCGCTGCGAAGCTTTTGCGCATCTGAGTTGATGCCCTGTCTTCTTCTGTGATGAATTTAATTCTGAATAGCAAAAGACCTTATCAAAGCTGAACATTCGGATCACGTAGAATTTCAGTGCAGTCGTTACAATCGGTCAAAATATTTGTTATATACGGTGGTTTTGCAGCTCTACGTTTGTTAGCACTATAAGTCAGTGTTTTGGCGTGCCCTCACTCTACTAATTAGCGGTACTGCTTGACAAACAACTGGAAACCAAGTTATCAAGCTGAATAGCGAACTCTAAGAGGTTCACTCACGGCTAGAGAATGACAAGTGGGTCAAGTTGTTCTTTGTTCATGGAAGTCTCGAGGATGAATCAGCAGATATGTCTGCCTCAAAACTTCTAGCATTCAAGAGAATCATAACCCCTGTTGGCTCATCTTCAGACTCCTAACGTTTTGGTCGATTTTGACTGACCACTACATATTCTGAATTTGAGCGGAGGATACATATTCCGACTTTTTCTGCATCTGGTTAAACTGTTCAAGTTAAGCCTCCGCAACTAGATAAGAAAGTTTAGACCAAACTTAAACTTGCGAGAGATTGATTACTGAAGGCTCAGTCACACAACCGTTTGTTTGTGCATCAGTCTCAATCAGTCAAGAGGTTCATTGGGGAGTATAATGATAGCAGGCACTAGCTATTACATGTTGCGATTGCATTTCAAGTGTTATGGTGTTGACAGTTTGATCAAGATGACTCAATGGAACCTATAATTGGACATTTTTGTAGGCATTTTCTGCTAAGTGCATCCATGTGCAATTGCGAGGTTACTACCAATGATTTGGAAAAAGCTAGAACTGTCCATAAAATGCTTTTCCTTATCTCAGTTTTCTTGTGGATTGGTTGGTTCGAATCACTCGAATCCAAGTGCACTGAGATTCGGTATAAACCCTAAAATTTGTTTCAATTGGATGTCCACGGTCCGAACATAGGAGAATCTCCAGCAAAGTATGTCCAGCAGGTACTTGCCACGTGACATAAGTACGGTTAAAAAATAGGAGTTTGAACTATCCTTTGCAGACTATCTCTGAAAACAGATTCACGCAGTGGTATTGTGGGCACGACGGTGTATTATACATCGAAATTTCATTTGAAGATTTGTATCCAACCTCATATCCCCGCTGAAGTGGAACCTCCGTCTTGGTTCCTCTTTCTTGAAATAGCATAATCTAGAGTCCCTTATTTTACCTAGATTATATATCTAAAGTGCTCGGAATAAAGGTGGATGGAGCAAAATCCAACGGGAAGCTAATGAGGGATCTTTTGAAATCACATAGACTGCCTACAGAGGTATAGATTTATCTTTCCTGTTAAGAGCTGGGTTTATAGTAGCGAACTTCCATAAATTTCAATGTTGGAAATATTAGATTAGCTCTTGTTGGCACAATCGGAAAATATTCTGGATTCCATGTTGAGATAATAAGAGAGAGATTTCATTTATCTTGTTGCAGGAAATCAACAGAGAAAATCAGTCAGGCAGAAGTTCAATGTTCTGATTATTCGGATAGTAAATGACATGCTTGCTTACGATGGCTTGCAATGACTCTTCGAAATCTTCAATGTAATAGAAAGAGAAAGAGGTAGTATTTGGATCTCCAATATCGTCTGAAACCTGCTGCTTGTCATTGCTTTAGATTGTGTCATTGACCTGGTAGTTGTCATCGAAGTCTATGACCTTTCGTCACCTTGGAGTAAACGAACAAACGTCTATCGTTTGACCGGTTTCTACTCCGATGGCCCTAGACCTGCTGCCGTAGGTCTTGTTCAGATGTCCGAGGTGAAGTACTCTCTATTCCGTGAATGTAAATCTTAGTTTAAGCTTGTACCTAGAATGGAATAATCACCTATGGTTATCCAAATTCGTTTCTCACATAAGCAAGTCTATGGTCAACCAGAGACAATTTCAAGTTTTCAAATTATATCAACACATTTGACATTCGGATAATCTCAAAGAGAAAAAAGGTCGAAGCTTGGTATCACTAATGATTTCAATGCTTAGACCGGTTTGTGTTTAATGAGTGGGCTGTCATATCATGTGCATTCTGTATTGACATTTGAAGAAGAAAATGGCTGTCTACGTACCAGAGCCCATCATTGGGTGCCCATGCCCATGGGTTATGGGTGGGTTTTGGGTGACATTATTTTTCTATGGGTGGGCACAAGTAATGCTAAGGGCCAAGTTTGTCAAGATCCAACCAAGAATCTGCTTAATTTGAGTAGCATGAGTGGGCACAGGTTCACCAGTTAGCACTGTACTTGTACACAAGATTTGTGGAACATATACTTGAAAAAAATAGTAGAGACAAAATCCTCTGAAACAACTAGCAAACTAACAATGAGTAATTATTATGATAATGTCATATAATCCTTTTGAAGTTGTAAATGAGGATAAATCCTATGAGGAAAATCAAGCCTTATGCTTTGACACCTTGATTTTCAATCCAATAAAATGAAGTTTAATACTCAAAGAATCAATTTAATCTTTTCAATATGTTTCACAATGTGTGTCTCATTGATTAAGTTCAAACATTGCGTAATGTAATCAAAGTAGTAGACTGAAGAGCTCTAAACTCAACCGAGACATTAAAAAACTTTACCTGCAGCATTTGATTATTGTACAATAGCAAAGAAATATAAAACATTCACCACTGCTTATCAACAGCTATACTGTGGGCGACTAACATGAGACTTTTTCTGCCAACGCGGTCTTCATGACAAGAGAGGGAATCCAGGATTATCGTCTTTGATTTTTCGGAAGCGTAAGAGTCCGGTCTTCCAACAATCGTGATCCTAGAGCTTTTACGGTCATGTTTATGGTCTTCTTCAAAAGCTCGGTGCTATCAAGGCAACCTGACTTTACCATTGTGACTTTACTAGTTTACCCATTTCCTTTCATCCTTGTAGTGCTGGATGTGTTCTTCCCTTGGTTTTTCCTATTTACCTTGCACCTGTTTCTTCTTTGTTGGTAAACTCTCTTGTACGATTCTCGTTCGACGGTATTATCATCACCTTGAGACAGCATGCTGGAAATCTTCAAACCTCTGTACAAGACTTTTCAACTTTTCAACTTTTCATCTTTTCATCTTTTCATCGTCAAAGCTAGAGTATGCGTCCTTCAGGCAAGGACTCCGGCTGATCGATCGATTACAGACACACAGTACTCTAAGTGACATAGCGTATTGTATGTAATAGTCCACAGGTTGTTTTTGTCTCTTCAAGGGTTGAGAATGTAAGTAACCTCCCAACAAATTCTACAATATTGATAAAGAGTTTTTGACTCAACTTGCAGAAATCAATGAATCGCCCACAGTTTTCTTAGAGCATCCAGTAACCAAGTATGCTGGTTGGTTTTTGATTTTTGATAATAGGCTAGAATGAGGGGTACTTATATCTCCTTTCTGACATTGGTGAGCTGATTAGCAGGAAAATGCCTGAGTGAGAAGTAGCCTAATAATTGTTCTTCATACGACCCATCTTTGTGACGAAGGAACCGAAGTAGAAAAAAAGTCCTGACGGAGGTATCGATCACTGAAGTCGAAGGTACTGTAGACTTCTGAATGCTTGCTGTTGGTGAGACTTGTCTACAGAATACAGTACTGTACTTTTGTTGCACGTTTCCCAGGGCGGAGGACTTTTCCCCTCTTCCTTTTAAATCGCAGTGCTGCAGAATTCCGTAGAAAAGAAACTAGCTGTTACTGAGAACAGGACGGTCTCAACCACCGCATGTAAGAGTACCCAAGGACGGGACGGGTTCCTTACTGCAGTGAAGTCTGGACAGTTGGGGATACCCACGTCGTTTGTAGTTGTACTCCGAAGATCTGAGTCTTCTAAAGCAGAGGACGAGATGATTTGAATAAAATGCAGTGGATACAGAATGGACTGAAAGGACGAAATGATGTGTGGGCATGTGTGGATATCGTGGAAGGCTAAATGCGTCGTGTTCAGAGAATGATGATCGGCTGGGCAATGAGCACAGAAAGTCCTGTGCAGGAGGACATTTGGGATTCAAATGAGAGCCTCATCCCCTCTTGCTCCAGAACCGGCTGGGACAGGAAAAGTAATCGAGAGTGGACAGAATCTGATTTCCATTTCGCTTCTACTTTTCAGATTTCATTGACTACTGTATTCGAGTATGCATGATTGCTTACAACGATCGGACTCATCGGAGTTGGGGACTGCACTCTCCTCGTGCTTGCTTGCTTGTCCTTGCCTTGCTGCCGAGGTCTGCAAAAGACCGATCAGGTTTAGGACGCAAATGAGTCAAATTAGTCAAATGTGATTAAGTGGATCAAATGTGCACGTCTGTAATGCAAGTCTGCCACACTCCCCCGCAACTCCTGGCGGGCTTTGCTCTGAGTTTAGCAGTAAATTGAATTGGCTGGACTGGATGAGGCCTTCAGTTTAGTCAGGAATCTCCCGCCACCCCAACATCGGAGCATTGGGAGTAACAGACGCATCCAGGCCGGCCCCAGGCCAGGCTGGGCCCAGACTCCAACCGACCACGGACCACGGACCAAGCAAGACTTTCTTCCTACCTATCCTCGAGGAAGAGTTGGAAGGAAGAAACTTCTGCCTTTCAATGCCCCCTCAAATCACCATCACCATCACCCCCCACCACCTCCCTCAATCCACTGCCGTAGCTGTTGACTGTCGACGAGCTACGCTTGCTTCCGCAGATGTGGACAGCAAGAATCCAAACCTGGAGTGCCTTTCCCGACGTCACACCCGAGGGCAGCGGTCCCACCGGTGCACCGCACTCTTTGCGCAAAGGCGAAGCGAGTTGTGGTCCAGACTTTCAGCTTCCCATTCCACCATCTGCTTCTGCTTCTGCTTCTCCCGAGTATACGGTTTCTTGTCGTGGGAGCAAGCAACCGCAACATTTCTTGTGGGCTCGAGATTTTAGGCGGAGAAGCGTCCTGTCGTTTCTGTTTCTCTCACGTGGTCCGTCTTCCACCGTCTCGGCCGCTCTCGACCAGTGAGCTCGTGCGCTTGGGCACCATCGTCTGCCTGCGGCTCTGCGGCCGTTCTGCAAGTCGTTCATCCTCTGGCGGAATTGGTTCGCCCGATTCGACCACTCTTCGGTCTCATGCTGCCGTTGAAATGTCCGGCACCTCGAGGCGGCAACGGGCCAGACAGCCGAGCCGATCGGATGGCATTTGAGGGCACGATTGAGTGAAGGGATTGACCTAATCTCCGAGCTCGAGCCTCAGCTGAAGAAGAATCTCGGAGCGGGTCAAAGACCATGGCGGGCAAGCAAGATCGACCGAGACGAGGAGTGATGAGATGAGACTGTGCGACCGAAAGTTGACGAGGAGCATTGCTGGTGCAGCTTCTTCTCCTCGAGTGGGTGGTGTATAAAGGTCGGGAGCGGAGGGAGAGGAGGGAGAGGGAGTAGGGAGGAGGAGGATGACGAAATTGAAGGGGGCGATTATGACGGAGAGAAACAAGCCGGGGCTTCTGGCAGCGACCTCGCGCTGCTGCATGGCATTTCTGTTCTGCAAGAAGCAGGCAGAAGCCAGCATCGAGGACTTCGATGAAGAACTCAGGAGCGATGTGACGCAGATTCACGTCACCACTCTGGATGAGGTGGTGAGCGTGAATTCCTTCTTCTGCATCGCTGTGTTTCTGGGCCTCTCGTTCAACTACACGCCCGAAGATGTCGCCGAGAGGTCCATGGCTCCCAGCGACGCCAAATGCAGGGTCGGAATGAACACCTACAGATACCTCCTCATGTTCGAAGTTCTGGCTTTCAGTTGTTTCCTCTTCTCCAGCCTCGTCGCTCACGGCATCAAGCTCTACATTGTTCTGGGTAACGGCACCGAGCTCGAGAATGTCCGCTCTGCCGGGGTGAACAACAGGTTTCTGCGCCTGGGCATTCTTCTGTCGGCGATCGGATCTGTTGTGGGTACTGTGTTTTTGACCCTTTCGTTAGTCAACATTGTTCAAATCAGGTTCGGAAATCTGCAGTGCGGAAGCGTTTGGACGAACCGCACTGCCATTCCACTGGTCGTTCTCGTGGGCAGTGGGGTGTCCATTTTCGTGTCCTCTGTATTTATAGCGTTCAGGAAATAGCTCTCTTCCTGTCGTCGTCCTTCAAAGCGCTGGTGACGCCAAGTTCTCCTGCTGCGATTCCAGTCACCGGTTGACTATAATCGAGTCGACTGTCAGTTTTTCCAACACTCCTTTTGTATATGTTATGCTGAGGCTCGCTCATCTGTATAAGAATCAGAGACGACATTGCTCCCTCGTGACTGCCCACTAGAGCTGCCGGCTGATGTGCATGTGATGCTTCATGTGTCCTCTGTTTTGTGTGCCTGCGTCTGGATGGATTGTGTCTGAGCATATGCCTCGATGCCGTGTTTGCAACCTCCTCGTTCGATCTGCCAACTGCGAGGATCGCCTCGTGAAGCTCGTTGCAGCGCATCGCCCTATTGTCGGTGGATCTGGGCTTACGTTCGGATGATTGAAAAGACAAGCAGGGTGTAATGAGCATCAGCAATTCTCTGCATCAGTACTGCATTTGATGGCATGAATATGCTGCTGATGCGGGGTCTGTGTCATCATTCTGGCCGACGACGGTCGGAAAGCACGATATCATCCACTCCAAATTTGGTCAAAGAAGGAAATGGGTCATGGAGTACCTCAGGAGTCCCGAGCGCTAGTAATTGAGGAAGCACATTACTGTCCACAAATGAACGAGGCCTTCGATAACTGTTGGTGACAGCCGAGAGCGAGATGGGGTCGTATTGGCGGTTGAATTTCCTGACGGAAAGAAACAATCTCACGAGCGTCATAATCTGATTGGAACGAACGAACTGACCGACCGGAGAGGAGAAAGCAGTCAAATTGCGAGAGTGAAAGGAAGACGAAAGTAATCTGCTGAGATTGGATCGAGGCCGAGATTCTGTGCAGCTGCACAAAGACCGCAAGATGATGCTACTTTCCAGCGACATGAAACGTCGATTCTTCCTCCATAAGCCCGAAAGCGGTCCGTCGCTGGAAACCGTGGGGACCAACCATCGTCTCTGAAAGGGAGGTGCAGAGTGACGTGTTCTCTTCCATGCGTTGACGTTGACGTCACGCCCTGCTGTCGACTGGCGGCGCTCCAAAACTTGGAGTGCTGCCAGTCAACTCAGCCGTGCCGCCGCCAACTCAGCTCCAAGCAGGGCTCCAAATCTCTAAAGTGGGGCTGAGTTGGAGGAGCGATGACGAGAACTCGGTGAAGGTGGAGGAGGGTGGGCAGGATGACGCGGACAAGACTGGATCCAGCTGGCGGAAGATTGGCGTCGGATATTAGGGAGGGCGGGAACGCGAGCCGCAGGCGGCACTGGTCGGGGGCCAATTGAAAAGCGAGTAGACAAATAACAAAAACTTCCAGCGCTGGAGCGAAAGATTCCAAACTCCGGTTGGTTTGGTTGGTTTTTATAAATACTTATTGCTGTCGTTTTCTAGGCATCCAGTTGATATGGCCGAGTTGGTCTAAGGCGCCAGATTAAGGTTCTGGTCCGAAAGGGCGTGGGTACGAATCCCACTGTCAACACCCTTACTCTTGTCAGGATGGCCGAGTGGTCTAAGGCGCCCGACTCAAGTTCGGGTCTCGTGAGAGGCGTGGGTTCAAATCCCACTTCTGACACTACCTTTAAATTTTGGTCGGATTTCTCGAAGATCGCTGTCTCAATTTTGGCCGTGCAGGGTTGTCAATCGGGAGTGAGTTCCGATCTAAATGCGATTTCATTTGCTTTCATTTCGGCTGCTTGCGACGTGCACGAGCGAGCCTCTCGGAAGGTGTCAAATGCAGGAATTTGCTCCATGTTCGTTTTGGGCCGAGAATTCGGATGATATGATGCGAAGAAGATGACTCCCCGTAGATTTAGCACTGCTAAGTCTAAGTATTCTTCTGTGCTAAGTTAGCAGTTGAGGAGACCGGGAAGTCCTATGTCAAACACATCCCAAACCAACCGGAGCAAAAAGAAGGAGTAGTATCTGTTTCCGTCCAGGTTCGAACTGGAGACCTTCAGTGTGTTAGACTGACGTGATAACCAACTACACCACGGAAACTTGTTATACGTCGTGGAGAGACTTAAAATTTAGCTCGTATAAGTTTAACACTTTGGTCTTCCTTAGTCCACAATGTATGAAATCCCTTGGAGGACAAATAGTCCAATGTTCATCCTTCCTCTATAGCCCCATACCATCCCTTGGTTTCAATACGAAACGGCTTGATATTTTTTCCCCATCTTTTTGCTATCTTATTCTATCCTCTTTTCTCATGGCTCTTTTCATCCAACTTTCCCGCGGCTCTACCGTTAGATATTGCACACTCTATCTACAATATCAAGAACCATCCTACTAACCCCATAATAATATCTGTGGTTTATGAAGGTACCATGCCAAGACATAGTTATATTCTATAATATAAACATCTATAAGTCTTCGATTTTGTTTCTTATAAAGAAAATTTAAATCATGGATCTGATCTATCCAAGTAAATAAAACTAATGCAACTATTTGTTTGATCTATTTATTCAAGTAATAATAGATATTTCGTGCCAAATTGTTGCATTGCTTCCTATGGTAAAAATTTATTAAAAGTAATGCGACTTAATTAGGGAAATTCAGAGTGTCATGCAGTGAGTGCAACTATCAGGCTTAATAATATATCAGTCGTATGTTGATTTTGCACCAATGTAGTGTGAAGTAGAACTGAAGTAAGTGAAATGTCAAAACTATTGACAATTTTGATGTAGTTTTCAATGCTAAAATACATGGGTTTCAAGATTTAGAGATTAGATTGTATCCACTTGATACAATTTTGGAAAGTAAACATTAGAAAATGGATTTGAAATCCTTAAAGAATGAAAGTGAATTTGATTGAATTCGATTTGATTTGATTGATTTTTTGTGCATTTTTTCTGTTATCTTTATGAACGCAAATGTTTCAAGATTACAAAGATCGTTAAAAAATTTTTTCTTATTAATAAATATTTTATTTAAAATATGAAAAATTATTTCAAAAACTATAAACATAATTATAATTACATACCATAATTTTTTATTCAATTAAACATTAAAATACATATTTTTTATGATTATATTCGTAGTTTGGTTGACTATGACTGCTATTATCATATCACAGGGATAGCAAAATTCCCTGAAAGACAATAATAAAATTTACCAAGGACAAAGATTATTTCATGGAAGAAGTTGAATTCTGTATTATGCTCAATATGTTAAAAATACTTGTCATTATGTAGTTAGATTACAATCGCTCTCAGAGATTAAATTAAAACTAAATGAGAGTGTACAATGAGTGATAAGAGCGAGCAGAAAATTATGATACTCGGCGGTTAGCAGGATTTGAAGAACGGGAGTGAGAGTTTTGAACAAGACGGCTGACAAATGATGACTAACAGCACGTGAGAAGGATCAACCAAACGGTGTGGTGCTCTAAGTAATAGTGCAAGTGTTGTCTTCAACGTTACTAATTATTTGCCAAAGTGTGTGTTTCGATAGACGGATTATGTAAGATATTTTTTTATCTTGAACCGCTTTAATTTTTGCAAGGTTTAGGTGTCAATTTTTTTTAATGGATTGTCTCATAAGGAGGTTTGTGTTGCTACATACGTAACACTATACTTTCAACGTTTTTCTTCGTTTTTTTGTTAATTATTTAATATCACATATTCTTTTGGCTGCACAATGATCAAGAATCGCTGTGCTTTAGAACAAGGTAAAGGTTTTTATTTTTATCTTTTCTCAACATTAAGTATTTTACTAATCATTGATCAAGATCAACGTATTAAATCATAAAAATAAAATATGAATGAGTTGACGAAACTAAAGCAGGCGAGAAATGAATCCAAATTTCATCTAAATTCTTCTCAGTCCGTATATCATTGTTGTATATCGTAGAATTTCACAAATGTTTCTGAAATAAAAAATAGCATTTGAAATTAATAATATGAAGTCTTTGAAGAGCAAGATTTTGTTTTCATATATGAAGTATTTTGCCAAAATATCTCAATTGGTTTTTCTATCGTAAATTTGCTTCATTGCCAACAAGGCCATCACAATGTCTACCGTTGCATCAATGTGGTTTACCTCGTGAAATGGCCATACAACTTTTTCAAGCATTTGTTACAATGTGAGATTGAGAACCCGATCAAAATCTCATCTGAGCTACACTGCCGTAATTCACTTCAAATCTGGAATGTTTATTTAACCAGGCCGATTATCAACAACGTAACAAATCAAGACAATGGTTCAATAATCAAAATCAGAAGTTAGTCTGCAAGTTTATGAAACTAGGTCTAAATGGAAGTGAGCAGAGTTTATCTTGAAAAGTAATTTTTACAAGTATTTTTGGGAAAGTTGCAGGTTTCCAATTCCGTGAATCCAAACTGGGAGTTCGGATTTCAAAGGCAAATAAGGAGATGGCTCTGAAAAATATATTAACTTCCAATTCCCGATTACGATTTCCGATCTCGATCATTTCCTTCCCGATTCATTTCCATTTCCCGATGATTTTTTTATAAAAATGGAATAAATTATGTTCAACTTTAAAAATATTCAGCAACTGACTATGTATTCACATTTAAAATTTGGCGAAAATTTGACAATCTGCATTGCAAAACAACATGATTCAAAATTTCTACCTAAAAGGGGTAAAATCAATTGCATATCATTCACTTGAATGAAATTGCTCTTTTTTTCTTATAAGAGCACTTAAAATCAAGTGAATGATATGCAATTAGACTCACTCGTTAAAAAGATAATGCAACAGATGAGTTCATATATTAACATTATTAAAATCATGAAAATTTATATATCAAGCTGTAAATGAGATGATGCTTAAGTGAATGAAGTAGATTTAAAATAAACATGACTTTTTTATACAGGTTGAATCTAACAAAATGATTGATCTGATCAAGATTGAAAATAAAGAAAATCTTGGCGATGACTGTGGAGACATCTTATCAAATCGCAAATATTGCATATGTACACACGCACTAGTCACTATTTTGCTACCTTAATTTAGTTAATATAACGTCGTGCCCACAATAATGTCGTATTCAAAATTTCATAATTTTAGTCATGACACAATGTAATTGAAGAACATCAGATATTTGTCTTTGAATATATGTATATTGATCAACTGGAATTAGGTTCATAGAATTATAAAAAACTTTATAAAGATATATGATATCTTTTGGCAACACATAAGATGTAAAAAAAGAATATGTCTTAAATTTTAATTTATAACATAAAAATAAAAATAATACATTTTTATATATTTAATTTA